CACTCTCAAAAGTGAAATAATGTTATCTTTTAATGATTTTGTATTTGGCATACCAGGTGGAAATTATTCTTCTTTTAATTTTGATATTTTATATGCTAAATATTATATATTTTCAACTAGGTGTTTAAATGGTTATTTATCGTTTTCATCATTTAAAAAGAAATTAAAATATCAGCATGAGATAGAACGCGTTATGAACACGCAACGAAATAAGTGTATTGTACATCTTGATGGGTCGAGGCACATCGAGCTTATTTAAATTTTGTTTTGCTATATTTTGTTTTCTATACATGTATAATATTGTTTGTAATGTATTACATGCATTTTGCATTTGATTATCGTCGGTGGGCGTCCAAAATCTCGTAAGTCGTTTTTTTTTGGAAAACACTTTTGCGAACTTTTGGAAGCAGTATCACTCGACTAATTATCTGTAAAAATCTCGTATACCATCTTGTCACATGGTTAGAAATCCACTTTTCCATTGGCTATGGTATACGAGATTTTGACAGATAATTAGTCGAGTGATACTGCTTCTAAAAGTTCATAAGTGTTTTCCAAAAAAACAGACTTACGAGATTTTGGACGCCCACCGACGTTATATGATTTGTGGAGAAATATTGAATAAAGACTTTCTTTGAAAAAAAAAACAGTCTGTATATCTGCAAACAGTCTGTATATCTCCAAGCAGTCTGTAAATCTATCAAAGCACATTATGGTAAACATTTATAAAAACAAAGTATTCTGCAAATCATATTTTAAATAATACTGGAGAGTCTCTGTCTCACAAGATAGAACACACATCACTCTAAGTCCTTCAAGAGGCTGCTGAATGAATCTCCTAGTCCCGTCGACTGAGGGGACGGATCTGGCAATGGAGATGCTTCAGGGGTGCCAAGAAACACCGGGGTGTTCGAACCTAAGTCCATGCTTGACTGCATGCTGGGGGCTGACTGAGACCGCTCCTGCCTCACAGCTGGACTGAAAGACAGGGCGGCAGCTCCGGTGGTGGCAGTGGCAGTTGCCGTGGGCACTCTAACAGGGCGTAAATGTGCGAAAGTCTTCTTCTGTGGCAACTGTCCTGGTACAACTAACTGCTGCTGCTGCTGTGCATGTGGCACATGCTGCACCCTGACAATCCTGGTCACCTGGTTGGGTTCTGGGAGGTAACTGAGCTGGGCTGGGGTGAAGGTCGTCTGCCCCTCAGGGATTAGGAAGTCCTGGTCTGCTCTCTGGTACTTCCTCTGCCAGTCTGGCATCTGCTCACAGGAAGTGGAAGAGGTGGAGGTGGAGACAAACTGACTGGTAGAAGGAGGCTGCAAATAGAATGATAACAAATATTAAAGTCATATTTGCTTTTATTTGTATAACAACTTTTGTGATTTTGTCTGGCAGTACTGTCATAAAATACATTTCAAATATTACACACATTTGAATTTGGTAACTTTGAAATTTTAAAGCAAAATTACATTTTAGCTGTAAATCACTTGGCATCTTTGGTAGGTTGAAGACTTGCACTGTTGGCATGTATCATTAAAAAGAAAGAATGATTAAAAGTGATTTTCAAAACACCTTGAAGAACTGCTGCTGCTGCTGCTGTGAGGTCTGGGTCTTGTCCCTTGCCTTGCCCTTTTTTCCACGTCCCTTGCCACGGTCATCTTTGGGGGGGGGGGGGGGGGTGGGGGAACCGTCAGCTCTGCCAGGGATGGTCCTTCTTCTTCTACCTTTTGAGCCTCTTCCTCTGCCTGGGGAGGCTGTTGTGGCTGCTCACTCACTGGAGGATTCTTCCTGGTTTTTCTGCTACTTCTTCTGCCAGACATGATGCACACGAAAGTCCAAAAAGATGGAGAAGAAACTGTTGAATAACTGGAACTAGATCTCAGACTTGATGAAATGCGACTGAAGCAAGCTCCGATCCACGTGGGTTTATATGCGGATGGTGCGGACGCCAGAGGAAGCCGACATGCGCAGACACGAGCGTAACTTATCCGTATCGTCCGTAAGTCATCCGTATCGTCCGTAAGTCATCCGTAAAATCCGTAAGTCATCCGTAAGTCGTCAGTAACATGTGTCAGCGGGTTGGCAGCGGATGGGTTCATCCGCAGGTTTTACCCGTAACATCCGTAATTCATACGTAACATCCGTAACTAATCCGTATCGTCCGCAGAATATAGGTAACTTTTGCTCAAATTTCCGTATTGGGGTTAAAAATTACGCATTTTCATTATCCAAATATACGCAGGCATCCGCAGGTCCGTAACATGGCCGTGTGACTGTAGCATTACATGCAAATCATATGCATTGGGTGGAAGGAATTAATGACCATTAAAACTTGAGCTAAAAGTCTCAGCTGCAAATTCTTTAAATGAAGAAAAATAATTAATGCATGTAGATCAAGATTACTTTTAAATCTTTTTTGTTGTTGCTAGATAAAGAGAATGATTATGAGTTCACTCTAGATTAGTATTTATATACAAGTAAGAAAAGGTGTTTGCTCTAGTATCTATTAATGTCACAAACATTTTATTTTTTTCACATTCCTGTGTAATGAATTCATGGAACGCTCATTTTTAAGAGTATGTATTTATATTTGAACTTATTTAAAACATTGTGAATGATTTCAAAAGAAGTTTCCTTTTTTTCATTTATATGTATTGATAAAATAAACAGTATTTTAACACAAACAAAAATAAAATTGAATCATTTGGAGAGAAAAAACCTACAAATCCCATATGATTGTTTTATCAAAGGACCAAAAACACATAAACTAGTCTATTGAGGGACGGAACTACTTGACTTTTAGGAGAAGCATGTGAACTCTCTCTTGCTCTTCCTCCTAATTGTCATTCAGAGGCCTATATACCTATATTTGAGGAGAGACTTAAGAAAGCTTATAGGAAGCTTTAGAAGTGTTTATTTCAAGTGCATTTCTACCACACTGAACACAAATCGCAAATGGATCGGAATAAGTGTGGATTGGAGCAGGGTTTGTCTTAGTAAATAGAAAGGTGTTCAAAAGGGGGCACTTTAAGGGTTCAAGCCTGTGAAGTTTGTTGGACATTTTTAAAAGGAAGATTGGTTGATTAGATTTTATTCTGAACTAAAATAGATTTTTCTGGCATGAGCAGAGTTATTTCTTGATTGCCATATGGTTATACATGTAGCAGTATTGAATATTATTTAATTTAAATTGAATATCATAGAACTAACACATTACATTACATTTTTGTTTTAATATGAGCATAACACTTGTACAACTTTGTAATTTATGAATCTCTACTAAGCTTATGACGCAATATGTACATATAATTATTTTGGACTAGTTTAAAAAGGTGTATTTTCCTAGTGTATAAAGAAATATAACTTATTACACTAACATACAATCTGGGAAGAGCAGGGAGGGCATTGTACATTACTTTAAAAGTGTGTTAGTTGACACCCTTCAGCATTCAAAAAATTCTTGGTAAGCTAAATACACCTTGTACATTAGTAAGTTTACAGTTTTTAATATGATTTCATCACATGTACATGTAGATGAAACAGTTATCAGTTACATGTTCCTATGTGAATTTTTAAGATAAAAAATTATTTAGGAGTAATTTAACCACTATTTTTATGAAACCATGATGACAGTTGAATACAGCAACATATCAAGTTGAATCAATTTGGGATATTTTTTCTACCCTATTTGTATCCAAATGAAACAGTCACCATGCACTAATCAACATGAACTTTAGACTGGTATTGTACAACAAGTTGGCAAACAGTCAAAGCGAAAGAAAACCTGCCTTTTCATCATTTTTTGTCCAAAACTATACTCCAAAAATGATTCTGAAATTGATCATCATTCTCTTTCCCACGGTGCCCATGTCCAGCCGAGCGTGGCCAAACTTGTGGATTGCACGGACCGTAAAACAAACTGAAACGCAGTGACGTGTGCAACAATGCGGTGACAAGCTATATGTTGAGTTTGCCCAGTTAGGCTGACTTTTATTGTATACAATAATACAATTACTATATTATACTGTTTTTTGGGAACAAAATGAAAATTTGCTTTTTATTGCAGTTTGTGAACAACAAAAATATATCTTGTTTCATGAAAATGTAAGCAAAGCAGGTTTCTATAATAAGGAGTCATGTAGTTGAAATGTATATATTACAGAACATTACAGAATTGTAACATACTGGTACAGTAGTCAATTTGAAACACAATTACTGTATGCACTCATAAATAGTAGGCTGCAATTAATGGTTGTTTGGAATCTGTGGGCTCTGTTTCCCTAAACTTGTTATCAATCACAAATGCTAAATTTCTGTGACAAATTATTTGCTCTCAGCCAATCAAGTGCCATAATTTCAGTAGCTTATCACAGTTATTGTAACTAGTTATTGATAACAAGTTTCATGAAACGGGGCCCTGATACAAATCTTTAGTAGATGTACCGGTACACAAATGCAGGCCGGCCTCTTGCTAGTTTTGAGATGTTAAAGCCCAACTGTCCTACTTGTAGCTACTTGCTCCCTCTATATAGAAAACTTCCCCAATCGGTGCCTGTTGGTCCCCCATGATCCTCTATTTCTTACGTTATTTGAGAGCTGAGTTGATGAGATAGCCACCTGTCAGTGACCTCGTTGTGTGGTCTAATCCCTCCTAGCCACACTAGTGTTGATAAGCTTTAAATGTGAAGGAAGAATAACTTGAACAATCATATGAATATGGACAACTGTTCATTCACATTCTTTTATACTTTAATATTTAGTTTGAAAGTATAACTTTTAAAAAAAAATGAAGATTCTGTATTTGCACACTGGATATACTTTGTATCATGGTTTCTTCTTTCATTGATCATAATCGCTCTGTACATATAATGATCCACATGTATCCACAATATCCTTATTTATATTAAAAGTTATTGGATTCATGTCGAAGTTGGGATTTTATATTTCTATGGATCTTTCATCATCTTTTCTTTTCTTTTTTCTTTTTTCTTCTCTTTCTGCAGATAGAGCATCAAATGATGCTCCGCAGTTTATCTACACTCAAGACCCAACAGTCAAGGTTACAGAGGGACAGAGCCCATGTAAGTTCTTAGAAATCATGTGCAAAAAAACACTTTGATTGTAGTAAACACGATTGCATATATTTTCGAAAAATCAACTCAATTTCAATACCCTATTGTATATCCCATAGAAATTGTGTTCAGATTACGTAATACATCATTGTCATTTTCGCACATTTTGATAGGTGACGCACAAGGCTATTAAAATGGCCTTAGGTTGATTTTTTTCTCGCAAGTAGTTGCTAGCGTGTACATTGAAGTTGACATACATATAGTCTTAAAAGTTATTTAACTAACTAGTTGACTAGTGAGTTAATTAAATAATTAACAAAGTATTTAAACACCTAGCTATTTGTAATTATCTAACCATCTGTTTTTGATGGAAGAAAAAACGTCACTGAAAGTTTTCTAAGGAAAGTATCAATATTAATTCACATGTGTGTGTTGAAGATAAAATACAAAGAAGAAATCATTTTTAGGGCGAATTCCATACTATGACTAACTCCAACATTTTTTTAGATCATGATTTAAAGTGTAAACCCAAAGCCTCTTAATGAAATCACCACACATATAATCTGTTTCCTAATACTTTTTGCCTGTTTTTTTTTCTCGAAATATAGGCATACTTTTTTTTGGTTAATTGTAGAATATACAAATCTTTAAGAGTTTGTCATATAAGAGGATAACATTTGTATTAACCATCTTTTTATGTAATCATTTTTTAAACAGCAATCGTGGTATTCACCCTGAATGCAACTGACCCTGACGGTGACCCCATAACCTATGACCTCTTCGATGATGCAGCGAGGTCAATCTTCACCATCAATCAGTTTACAGGACAGTTGTATGCCTTGCCAGGCCTTGATTATGAGGTAAGACAAAACTATTATTTAACAAAAGATTTCAAAATGACTTAAATTACTTGCAAATTGTGACCAATTACTTTCAAGTAGAGTGAAGAGAAACAAACAAACAAACTAAATATGCAAAGCCAGGCCTTGATTATGAGGTAAAGACAAAACTGTTATCAAACAAAAAAGATTGAAATGACTTTATAATTACTTGCAAATTGTGACTGATTATTTTCAAGTAGAGTGAACAGAAAGAAAGAAACAAACAAAAATATTGATTTTTCATGGTTAAGATGGAAATGCTGTTATATGTACAGTAGTGTGTTATTTGTGAGGAAGTGAGATCGGTCATTAATTCTTTAAAATAGTTGTCTGTTGAACAAAGCTGGTTTGGATGTAGAAAACGATGGTTGAAGGAAAACCTGTATAACATTTAAAAGTTCCCATTCTATATGCCATAGATGTAAGTTAGAAAAGAGTAGAAGATGCTAGTTATCTCTCACATTCAGAGGTCCTAGCAGCTGCTTTAATCGGGAGAGCCACACCTAAAACACGTTTTGAAACCCACTGTATACTTTGTAAAGACTCGAGGAAACCCTGACATAGCAGTCCACCTGTGTTTTCTAGTCATTTACATCAAAAGAGGAGACCCAAGGGTTACAGAGACCACATTCACTTTCCACCTCTCAGACACAGGTGGTGGCAAATATGTTTAAGTCATAGTTAAAATGTACACAAATCTTCAATTTGATTTCTTTCTTTCCACAGACGTTGGGAAATCAAGTGATTATCACTGTCTCCGTGACTGATGGCATTAATGATCCGGTAAGTTTGAAAGTCAGTTCTTTTAACTCTCAAAATGGTGTATCTGTTTACTTCTTCTTCAGTCAGGTGGCGCTAGCTGCGCTGCTGTGGCCATCACAAGTTTAAGCCATCCTTCTCTGTCAGCTGTTGCTCTTGTTGCCTCTGAAGCTTTTTCCCTGTCCATATGTGGATGTCTTTGAACCAGGAAATAGTACCTACCAAAACTTAATAGTGTTCAGTTTCCTCTTTTGAAGGCATTAATTATTTTGTTCTTTCTAGAATGTTTTAAATGACATGTATGATACTTACAAGAATATAGAGATCATTACCAATTTAAAACCATTTTTGTTGTTGTTTTTGTGTTCTGAAATATGAATGTTTTAAAGAAAACTTAACACTTATTGGAATTGAAATTCACTTTTTTGAGCAATTGTTTTATTTTTATTTTTGGGGGGAAGGGGGGGGGGTTCTGTGCTTAGCAAGAACACTCTGCAATGGTAAGTTAAAAACAAGTAGCTCAGTCAAAGAGGGTTAATTCAACAAATGACTTCTCATATTTTTTAAATCCCCCAAAATGTGCATATCTTGTTTGATTGTTTTTTATCATATTAACATTATTATAAACCTCAAACTTCTCCTTCCATCGCAGGTACCCCAAACTATCTACGTACGCATCACTGATGTGAACGACATTGCTCCGACCTTCACCAACCTGCCAAACATTACCTATGTCTTTGAGAATGCTACCTTCGGTAGTGAGCTCTACCAAGTCATCACCACCGATGAGGATACCTTTTATGGTGGATTTGTGACTTACTCCATTTCGCTAGTCACCCCCAGCACTCCTGGATCTGTAAGTGTTGCAGAACTTATTTGTCCAGAGGGGACCCTAAAACTTAAAAGCTCTGCTTTTACCAGGGTCTCCTCGTCTTTCTTTTAGTTCACTTTGTTTTTATCATTGCCATAATTTGTAAAGTTATGCTCTATGTGACAATTGAAAGAAAGACAAATAAATATCTTATCTTATCCACTTCTACATTTTTTTCCTTTTAATTCTACATTACTCTTGGGAACTTTCTGGAAGAGGAAAAGCAATACAGGATGAAAGGTCAAAAACATTTCAAGAAATTTCATCTTGAAATGCAAAATGTCATCAAAGAATTCAATGTATTTTTGTAAAGTAAAAACAGAAATGAAAATGAAAAAGTTACAATATGAAAGTAAAAATAGATGACTCTGTGTTGTTTTAGTGCATTGTTTTCACTGTAGTTAATGATATTAATTTTCAAGCCAAACAACTGTGTATATATTCAGGAATTAGTTCACAATTTGAGGTCTAAAAACTACTTGTAAATAGTACCTTTCTAGTTTATTTTTTGAATAGAACTGTTACATAACATCCTCTTAGCACCAGGGAGTGATTCAGATGGAACGATCTATGCCAGTTCTTACAGGGACTCTTAGTTTGACTGGCTGTCAAATTTCCTCTGTTGATACCTGATAGGGCCAGTACTGCACGACCAGAACATTATGTGAAATTTGTTAAGTTTGTTTTTCAGTCTCTCGTTAGGAGATGTTGTGCACTTGTATACCATAATCAATATTTGTATCATAATAGCTGTGAATAATTGTTTTTGCCTACAAAATTTGCCGAATAGAATTTATTTCCCTACCCAAATGTATAAATCTCTATTAACTATTGACTCTGTTAACTCATTAAAAGCCTATTGAATTATTAGATTCTTCATTCAAATATCCACTTGTTGAGTATCATTGCAGTTTACCATATATATTTAGAAGTAGAAATGTGTCTTTCTCTTCAAATTTTGTTTTTACTTATCATTGTAGGCTCCAAATAATTACTTCTCTATTGGAGAGACGGATGGCATCATTCAGCTTGCTACATCTCTTAATTATGAAGAAATACAACAATACTTTGTGACGGTAGTGGCCCGGGTAAGAATTTTTTTGCTTTATATATATCTCTTTTTTTTTCTTTCAAGAAGCTCATGTAAACCAAGAAAATTGAATTTTTTCTCTTTCCATATTTGTTTGTTCTGTTTTCGGTTCCTCATCTGGGCCCCATTGCAGAAAAAACTTACCCCCTGATGGTAGCTTTGCCATCACTTTTAAATACTATATCACTCAACAGCCAATCAAATCAAGGTTTCCATGAAGTTACCATCAATGGTAGGTTTTATTCCAAGGCCCCGGCTTCTTCTTTATCTCATTTTTACATGTATATATATATATATAAACAAATGTATTGGGTTATTGTGAGGTATATTGCCAAATGAATAATCTACATGTATGAGTAATGAACAAAAAATCTACTTCTTTCAGATTATCTTCTTTTCTTTGTCATTATCCTCCTCTCCATCTCCTTCACAATCTTCTTTGTTTTGTACATGTAACTTTTCATTCTTTTCTCTTATCTTCTTGTTTCTCTATTCTATTCCAATAGTATCTCCTACCATTTTGTATGCTATTGTAAAATGCAAGTATTGTAAATTAGACAAAAGAATGTGTCTTCTAGGTGCTTTCTGAAAAATTATAAATATTATGTTTTACTTATTGCATGTGTATTTAATACATCACAGGATTTCATGATAGTTAATGCATCCGAAAGTAACACCAGAGAAATGAATAAATAATGATATGAACATTTGAGAAGCCCATTACAATAAACAGCCCATAGACCTTAAACACATCCATTCTATAGACCCCCTTTCTTCCCAGTCCACTTTTCTCTGTCGCTCCCATTTTGTCCATGAGCTCGTTATCCCAGTATTATCAACACTTGGCATCCAAATAGAATAATAAATGAGGAGGCATTTGTTAATGGTCTATCCCACCGTCCATCCAAACTGGTTAATTGTGAAGATATTGATTTTTTTTTTCTTCAAGGGTGGATGGTAAGTTGGACTTCAGTGCATTTTGGTCTATTGCTTTTATTATTGAAGACCTGCTATCAACAAGTGAAGATTTTCTTTTGTAATCAACTGACTGTCTTTCTTTAAATTTCAGAAAGTCCTGTCATTTTTTTATTTATTTTATTTATTGAACCATATAAAAGCAAGACATTCAAAAGAAGACATAAAAGATACAAAATACCTCACAAATGGGGCTCCACGTAAAGCAAATAAATTTAGACATATTATTATTATTATAAAATAGAATGATAAATGAGGAGACATTTGTAATGGTCCACCCCACCGTCAGTCCAAACTGGTTAATGGTGAAGATATTGATTTCTTTTTTTCAAGGGGTTGATGGTAAGTTGGACTTCAGTGCATTTTGGTCTATTGCTTTTATTATTGAAGACCTGCTATTAACAAGTGAAGATTTTCTTTTGTAATCAACTGACTGTCTTTCTTTAAATTTCAGAAAGTCCTGTTATTCATTTATTTATTTTATTTATTGAACCATATAAAAGCAAGATATTCAAAAGAAAAAGAAGAATACATAAAAGATACAAAATACCTCACAAATAGGGCTCCCCGTAAAGCAAATAAATTTTAGACATATTATTATTATTATTATTATAAAATAGAATGATAAATGAGGAGACATTTGTAATATTCTATCCTAACGTCATTCCAAAACTGGTTGATTGTGAAGATATTGATTTGTTTATTTTCAAGGGTGGATGGTAAGTTGGACTTCAGTGCATTTTGATCTATTGCTTTTATTATTGAAGACCTGCTATCAAACAAGTCAAAAAATGACTGACAGGAGGTTGCTTTCTCAGTTCTTAGTCGATTTAAGTTGCAACGTATTTCTTGTGTAATGCTCGGGCTCCTTATAGTGTATCAAAGACCACCGCTGTGCCTGATATTAAATTATTCAAAGAGAAACAGTTATATGTATTTTGGTGAAAGCTTAATTACTTTCAAGGACTTCTGGTGTCTTTCTTCCTCTCAGTTTGAGCTCATTGTGCCAGCATTCACAACTATCGATAGAAGAAAAGAACACAAGATAAGAACACATTTGTAAATAGACCACCGCACCTGTTACTTACAATTGTCTATTGTTGTATCATTGATCGAGGATGAGATGGATTTAAGGGGAGTTTTTATAGATCTGTCATTTAAGATTCTGAGCTCATTGCACATTAGATAACTGAATATATACCATTAACCTATTACATGTAGATGTGAAAAGTTTCTAAATATGCTGATCCTCCAATATTTGAAAACTGATTTGAAACATAGTTCTCCATTTATTGTTGCGGGGTTTGTTTTGCTTCTTTTTTTTTTTTTTTTTTTTTTTTTTTGGGGGGGGGGGGAGGGGTATCTAGGGGTAGTTAATAGGCAAGGGGTCAGTTGTCCTAGAGTCATCTAATATGATATACCACAACCCAATTTTATTCGGTTACTAGCAGAATATACATGTACATGTACAGTGTATACATGTATGTTTCATCAATTAGGAAAATGTTTTAAGGTAGAATGTTAACTTTCAGAGATTTTTCAAATTATATATTAGTTTTATGGAAAATTTCAAAAGAATTAAACTTAGCAAGGGACACCTTGTTCCTTTTCATTGGACATTTCCCCAAGAAAATATCCCATGAGGTTAATTTCTCTTTAATATACTAAACAGTATCATTTTTGCCTGAAATTGAAATTATGTCTAGTTTTCCTGCCTTTTCAAATACATGTACCTTCACAATTTATTCTCTTTCATCACAAAAAAAATGTAAAACAGCTGCATAATACATTTTGGTGTTTATTTACCGATCTATGCTAAGGATTGAAAAATATTTGCACTGCTTAATTAAAGAGGAGCTACAGCACACATGATGTGCCCTGGAGCTAGATTTAAACAATTGTTGACAGGTTGATCACTCTGCTGGAACAGCAAATAAGATATCCTTTACATCAAGGGTTTTATCCTGCAAAGTTTAGCTCCATTCATGTTTTCAAACTCTTCTCAATCATGTTTCCAAAATTCAAAACATCTTGAATGAAAAGATGGAGAGGGATTGCAACTGTAAGCTTATAGGTACATGTTGCCTTGGGGGGGGGGGGGGGATTTGCACCTGCAGTTTGTCTGGTTTTCCCAACAACCTATTCCAGGTACTCTCGCATTTAAGGTTACATGTATACGTTGGAGGGAATAATGTACCGAGACACACGGTTTGTGTATCGCTGCTACTTTGTATTTGATTAAGGCGCAAAATGCTCTTTCAAAGAGTAGGAGAAGGAACTTTTTCTGATTTCTTTACTCTCTTTGTGAAACAGTATCTGTGTACAATAAAAAATATATCAGCTGTTTGGAGCCAGAAGGGTGTTAACACCATTTACTTTTACACATGGACTCTGAACAGATAATACAAATTCGATTTGTATTACCCCCCCCCCCCCCCCCCCCCACAAATTACAAAAATTGTATGTGTACATGTAGATGTAGATGTGTTGATCACATTTTAAACGTTGTGTCTCCAAACCTTTACCTATTATTACTGACCGTGCCATTTGAACAACAAAATTTGTATTTCACGGCTTCATTGCTCCCAATGCAATTACACATCACAGAATTCCACTGATCATTCATCTTAGCAAACTAATTGCCTTGTATAGCAATCGACCAAAATTCCTACCGAGTTTCGGGAGGGGGTATATTCCCTCCCATTGTCTGGGTTTTGTTGGTAGACTTGGATGATTTTGACACACAGTGGGGGCGATATCAGTACTTGAGAGAACCTTTAATCCTGCAGTCCTGAGAATCGACTAATCAATAAATGCATGGTCAGGGCGCAGATAGACGTACATGAAGTCCTCTAATTGAGACTTTCTCTCTTTATTGTGTATGCCATCGAGGGGCACGAGGAGAAGGCATAGAGGAATTTAAAGCCCCACTGCACTACTTGTAACTACTAGCGCCCTCTATAAAGCAAACGATGCCTAATCGGTGCCTGTTGGTCCCCCATGATCCCCTTTTTCTTATGTTTATTGAGAGCTGATTTGATGAGATAACCAACTTTCAGTGACCTTGCAGGGTGGTCTAATGCCCACTGGCCAAACTAGTACAGACAGGCTTTAAGACTATTGCGCCCATTTTAGCTTTTAAAAATATATGCATTTTAATCTAGTAAATATTTATTTCTGAAATGCCTCCATGTATATTTTGAATTTTGAAGGGGATGTTTCCTCTACTTATAGAGCTTAAGGTAAACAGCATTAATTCAAATCGTTTGATACAGAGCAATTAATATCCTTTGGCAAGACTACATTTGCCACTCTTTACCCAGGTGAAGAAAATGGGTACCTGGTAGAAATTCCTTGAACATTTTAACACTTTATTGTGGCAACTCAGCCAGAATTTGTATTAAGTGCAGTGAAGTATGTTTGTCTAGCACCTGTGCTGTATAAATTTGCTATATATATATTTATATAAATACATATATCTTAAAAGAAGTATTTAATACCTTTCTTTCTCTCAGCAGATGCATACTTTTACATGTAATGCAGGAGCCATTTTTCAATTATGAACAAAATACCTTCTTTCTATATTTGATGTATGCTTCTTTGTCATCTTTAAATTACATGCGTCTAAAATGAATTGTTTTCTTTATAACCCATATTGCGTACAAAGGATGAAACTATTTTCACTAGTCAAGGGGTTTGTACCATTTCTTTGAGAGATTCAATGCCCACTAATCACCATACTTTGGGGCGATTCCTTGCGATGTGTCCTATCTTGTCGCAGGACTCTTACCCATTTATTTCATCCAAAAGTGAACAATCTCTTGTAACAACTGCCTTTAAATGGGGGTTAATTGATACCAAAAGAGTAATTTTAAATGGTCAAATCAATAAATTTTTAATTTTTGGATGAAATAAATGGATAAAAGATTGTATGAGACACATGGCATGGAATTCACCTTTTGTGTATGAAGAAATGTTTTTGATAACCTTCATAAGAATGTTTCCACTTACCATGAATGCTGTGTCACACATTTAATTTAGTTTACTGCAATGAAAAATTAATCTTTTTAATGTGTTTTATTTTCCAAATAACGTTTCAGGTGTGAGAAATCAAAGTCAGATTTTGTGTGTTAATTAATTGATCAATTTGATAATATATTCTTCTGTGTAATAATTTTCTTTTTGAGATGTTTTTGAGATCTAACAAACCTTAGTCACTAATGTAAACATGCTGTACAAGAACTAACCATAATTTTGATCTTGATACAAAAATATTCACCTTCGAAATTGTCAGCTGATCAGGTACAGCCCTCGTCATAGATGGGACCCAATGTGACCTTTGTGATGCAAAAGAGATCAACAATTTAACTTTCAAACATATGTATCAATACACATGAAATTTCATGAAACATTTACTTGCAACGTACTAACCATGTTGTATGTAAAATATACATGCCCCTGTACATTTTAATGGATCCCATCGTAATGAGTTCTATTTTCTCTGCATCTCCAGGATTACGGGACTGGTGACACTAGTCTCTCCAGCACAGCCACGCTGACGGTCAGTGTCCTGAACATCCAAGATACTAACCCAGTCTTCCTCAATATCCCCTATGATGTCACTATCCCAGAGACATTACCAGTGGTAAGAAACTGCACCAAACTTTGTTTAATATTTATGAAAATTCATTTTTCACAAGCAATCACACGCACCTTGTAATTCTGTTTGATGTTTACAACGAGTAATAAAAACATGTGATGGTTAATTAAGCATGATTTTTATGCAAGATGTTACATCCATATTATTTTGAACCCAAATTTGAAATCAAAAGTCAATGATTATAGGTTCACTTTAGAGGCAAACATTGGATCATAATTTATACAGTTCTGTTTTTAAGGGGGGGGGGGGGTAATCCTTCATAACTTTAAGAATAATACATGTACTGTACATATCAGGTATTTGTGTATTTATCAGGTGAATGTATCATGTTGCTCTAAATGTATGTTGTTAAGGAGTAGTTTCTTTGGTTGTGTTCACAGTTGTTCATGTATGCCAAGGGCTGTGTGAAACATTTCAAACTGTTATTCTTGCCTTATATTCTTATTTTGTAAAGCGCCATGAGCGCCAGAGCCTGACAGATATCGGTGCTAAATAAATAACCATATTATTATTTTAATTTTATTTATAATTCCATGTCCTCATATTATCAATTTTTAACAGGGATCAACTGTGCAAACCATCACAGCCACAGATCCTGATTCCAATGATGGCAACATCATCACATATAATCTTGTCGTCAGTAAGTATGGTAGCTTCATGGACTTGATGGAAAAGAAATTTCAAGGAGACTGTCCTCTCCATTGATACAAAATTAGCTTCATTTTCCATACTAAATCAGTGATCATACATCATACTTGTATATTGTTAAGAATAATTGCAACAACTGAAGCGATTTAATAGTGAATGGGGTATAGTGCACATTATGCAATCAATTAACTTCTGTTTGAAATGTACATGTACAGGTATTAAAGAGACAGAGAGAGAGAGAGGAGGGGGTGAAGAGAAAGAGAGAGGGGGATAGAGAGAGAGAGAGAATCTGAAATACTGTACAAGTTAACATTCTTTTAAATCTGCAAAAGAATTATTTTGTCTTGTTTTTCTATTAAAAGGGAGATATTCATCAAAACCTGTAAAAGCAAGTTGCATTTTATTGAAAGAAGTTCATGTATTAAGTCTAGAATTTAATTTCCAAAAATTTTTGTGGTATGCATTCCTTTGTCAGATGAAGACAGGTAAACTTAATTTTGTCTGTGCAAAGATCCCCTTTATTATTTTTCTTATTTCTCTCTTTTTCTTCTCTTTTTTAGGTGACAGTCAAGGCTATTTTGTGATTGACCAAACCACCGGCATCATCACAGTCAACTCTCAGATGGACAGAGATAACCCTGTTCTCCCAGCCACATACCCACTCATTGTCAGTGTAAGTGGACCCTTCTCTTCTCATTCATATAGCATTCAGAAAGGTTGCCCCTTTCACACTTTGCAATGGTCAAATTTGACAATATTTTGAATGTCTGAGTATGATAAATCGGACCATAAATATTATCTTTCCCATATCTCCCATTCATGTACCTCCTTATTGTCAGTGTAAGTGGACCCCTCTTTTCTCCTTCATTTTCAATTGAGAAAGTTAGTCCTGTTTTCACATTGAGTAAGAGGTCATTGGTTTTGGACAAAGATGAAAGCCTGAATATATTGCATGTTTTAGTGAGATAAAATAATAGTTTGTGTCTTGAAAAGAGTTATCGACAACTGGTCCATAAGTCAATGGAGCTACATTGATTCATCAGTGTTGCATTTGACTAAATCTAGAGTTGTACAAACAACCAAATAACCTGCATTTTTATTAAATGATATACAAATTTAATCATTCAGGTAATTATTAGTAGCCTTTATCAACCATAATTATGAAGAGGTCCTTGTACATCTACTACTATGTAGAGGTGTCGTGGATGAGTGGATACGTCGCCGGACTGTCGATCACAAGGTCCGCGGTTCGAGTCCCGCCGCAGCACTAATGTCCTTTGGCAAGACATTGATCTAAATTTGCCACTCTCCACCCAGGTGTTTAATGGGTACCGGTAGGAAGGAATTCCTTTAATTGCTGTGAGCGTCGAAATCGGCAGCCTAGCATAGCCGGGTAATGTTGGAGCGCCGTGAGGACCTTGCAAGGTCGATACGTGCGCTATATAAGAATCCAATATTATTATTATTATTATGGTAACAAATTTATACTCTGAATCCATTATGTTAATAGATACTTGTGTGTGTATTTTTTGTCCATTTTGTGACCAAAATAATCAACTTTGCTTTTGCATTTTAATGAATACATGGATCTGTTTCATGTTTTTTTAATATCACTTTCTTTTTATCTCATCTAGGCTGTCGAGACCAGTTCTGGTGGAGTCTCCTTCGCGCAGGTCAGTTTCAACGTCACTGTCTCGCCTGCAAACGATGAACCGCCCATGTTTGATCAAAATTCCTACTCCGCATCCATTCCAGAATCAGCGTCCGTCAACTCACAACTCCCGATCACTATTACAGTCAACGATGGTGATTTGGTAAGTACTAATATGTAAAGTGATTAATTTTGTTTACCTTCATCAAAAAGATTTCTGGAAATGTTTATAGAAATTACCATAATCATTGTATCATTAAAAATTCCTTCCTTGTGTGTTTATGAATTATGCATACATGTAGATCTTTTCTGAACTGTTTAGAAAAACACATTTGAACGATTTGAGCGACATGATTATCTCATACACAAAGTGTGTTAGAATGGAAATATCTTCATCTTTACATTTTTCCTAATTTTCAATGTCCATTTGACAAAAGCATAAAGAAAGTGTGACACAAAACTTGCTTTACTCATCAATAAATTTCAATATTATGAAATCATATTACTTTTGTACACTTTTGCTATTGACACCTAACCATGTGAATGTTTGAATTAAAAAAAATTGTATATTATTTATTCTCTATTTTTTCAGATTACTGATAGCACAGTAACAGTTTCCCTGCAAAATGGTAACAGCGTTCCTTTCAGAGTTTCACCAACTCAAGTTGTTGGTAGTGGTACGGTCGACATTCTCATCACTCAACCCCTTGATTTTGAAAACAACCAACAATATACTTTACAGGTAAGATAGGGGTATGTTCTAAACCCATTGTCTACTGGTACCGGGTGGCTACTGTATTAAGCCTATGGAAATGAATGAATTCAGTATTCAGCTGGTTAAGTTTGTGTCATGATGTACAGCTGGGGTAAAAGAGATCTCCTACGGTCTAATATATCATATATTTTGCCTTGGAGAGATACAACTTTAAAGCTGCGTCATTAGCCTGAGTATCATTTTTTTTCTTCTGAGAATTTCATGTTTTGAGAGAGAAATGAAAGAATACATATACACCAGGGTAGCGTTTCAGGAAACCGACATTAGTACAAGTTCACCGTCATCCAATTGAAACATGCATGTTGTAAATTCTGGTGTTTAACAAATAGACCATTTCTTTTATCTTCACAACAATCAATGGAGTCAAAGCAAGAGTTCTTTTCAGTATTCAATGATGAAAATGATATTTTGAACATTAGTACCATAAATCCTTCTTCATGCCTTTGCAGCTTCAAGCAGTCGATGGAGACGGTCAAGACATAGCTCCTTTAATGGTGACTGTGACTGATGTGAATGATAACAACCCTGTATTCATCAATCGTAAGTAGCCCAAAGTTTTTTAAAAGTATTAATCTCAAAACTATGAAATATTATTGTTTGACTTGCAATTTATTACTTTTTATTTTTTTTAAAATAATTTTGAGGTTACAAAAGGAAATAGTTCATGTACAGTGTATGTACCTGCGCTTGTCATTGTCACATTAAAGCCCGTCTGTAATAGTTTGGCCAGGAGGGATTAGACTACCCAGGGTGGTCACTGACAGGTGGCTAACTCATCAACTCAGGTCTCAATTAACATAAGAAAAAGAGGATCATTGGGGATCAATGGTCACCGATAAGGCATTGTTTTCTATATAGAGGGAGCAAGTAGCTACAAGTAGCACAGTGGGGCTTTAAAATCTAATGATCTAACCCAACCATTCTATGTGTATAATCTTACATTCTATTTCTCTCTCTTTTGCAGGGCCGATAGATAACATTTACAGAGGTAGCATCAATGAGAATGACCAGACGGGAACGTTCATTGTCCAGGTGTCCACAACGGATGCGGACAGTGGCTCGAACGCAGCGGTCACTTACTCTATCATTAGCGGCAACATTAATGTAAGTATCACCAAATAGTCAAAGAAAAAAAAATATATAAGATAGGATGTCAAGCTGGTGCAGATCAGCTGTGTTCTAAATAACTTATGAAATAGTGTCTACTTTTGCTAAATATTTTCAATTTTTGTGGCCTATAAGATTAAGATACAAGAAAAAGTAATATCAAGTAAATCAATTATGTGCAGGTTTATTTGTTCAACATTTTACTTCAGATGGTGCTACACTACAAAAAGAATTTAAATTTTTTTTTTAAAATTCAATAATGATCACAATCGTGTGTTTACAGAGATCAATTACAGTACGTTCGTAATTATTATTATTTTTTTATTTTTTTTACCTTACTGCTAAGAAAGCATGTCATAAAATTGAAAACAGTCGTTATCATTAGACCTTCTTGAAAAACAAACTGTTGCAATAAGGTACCATGGTAAGGAACTTATAAAAAAATTTTTTCCCCCTCTCCAGAATGTCTTCACGATCAATCCTACGTCTGGTGCTATCACAAACACCCAAATCCTTGGACCTAACACCCCTCAGACATACACTCTCAGTGTCAGGGCAACCAACCCTACACCGGGTGTTGCACCGGCGTAAGTATCTTAACACCTTACTCTTCTAAATGAAATTATCAAAGTGAAAATTGTTATTGGGAGCATTCTGGTATATTGATGGAGGCATTTTACTCTTGATACAAATGGTACCAGGATCAATCTGGCTCTGTGCTTACATCAATCCTTGGACAAGGTATCTTACCCACATTTGTCCCTCTTGACCCAGGTGTATTAGATGGGTACCTGTATGCTGGGGTAATAATAATTGCAGGGCCAGCAGGAAAGAGCGGTATTGATATTGATGAGGCTACCATGGGTAAATACATGTAATGCCAAACATGTACTATTCCCATTTTAAAAAAGTAACATAGCAAAAGAAATTGGCATTATTCTTTAAGGAACACATCTGGCTACTTCATCTTCACTTTTTAAAATACATGTACTGTATTTACCCATGTTACCACAAATTTAGGAAGTTTTTCATGTGATAGGGTACACTTCAAAACCTAGATTCATGCATGCTAATGAATAAGCATGGTTCTGTAAAGGCAGATTCCTGTAATAGATGTTTTCGAACTGTGCTTTAAATGCATACAAGAAATTATGGGAAGTTATCAGGACTCAATTTTTCTGGAATATTTGCAATGTGACTCCATCTTCTATTTTTTTCTTTCTGTAGGACTGGAACATCTACTTCGACCGTGATCATCACTGTGAATGATGTCAATGACAGTCCACCAAGATTTAGTGACGATGAGTTCACTGTTTTCATCAATGAGGTAATCTAACATATACTTTTCATCTTTTCATGTAGGAGGTGAAAATAAAACATCAACAAATATAGAACATTTCACACTTTCTATTGTAAATAATAATAATTTTTAACTAGTAACAGACTGAAGTTTGCACAATTAATGTACAGTTTGGTATTAGCGATTAATTCAAAGCATAAAATTACCATCGTGCCTCACAGCTAAATATAACCCCCCAAACCGTTTATCAGGGCTCCTCTCAAACTTTTTTCACTGGGGGGTACGGATTGAAATTTGTTGGGTCTGAATGCATGATTAAAATTCTATATTTTGAGGATGGGGAATTGTAATTGACGGGTCCATATATACCAGATTCCAGCTAGTGCACACTTTGGCTAAGTTGCAGTCATGTGACATTCAATTATCATTTGGAGACTAACCCAATTTCCCTTGTTGTTGTTGTTCCCATGGAAACAGGCTGCTCAGGTCGGTACCACCGTCACAAGGATCACAGCTACCGATGAAGACATCCCGGAAGGGGATAGACTTACCTATATCATCACTGCAGGCAACACAGGAGGTAAATGGCATAACATATTTGATATCATTTTCTAAAGGGTAACAATTATTGCTCTGCATGTTAGTGATTCCATGTTGCTATACTACATTCAAGGTATGAGTCCACCTTTGGTTTCCAGGGCAAAGTTGAATGTTATTCTTTATTTTCTTCAAATTCCATAACTATTAAACCTAAGAACAGCATTCATGTAAACTAGTTATTATATCAATTTTTTCAGTATGCAAGTTTTTCCAAATTTCATCTGGAATGTACAGTTTGATATAATTGTCTTTCAAAATTTCTTTGAGCATTGTATAGATTGATGCTGGGAAGAAATTTAAAGCCAAGATATAATCAATGAGAATTTTTAAAAAGTCATGTAAAGACTCTCTCAGTGAGATAGCTTACATGTGTGTATGTGTGAACTTTGTAGACAAGATGGCACATTTAACAACTCAGTTAAATTCTAAAGTATGGTATTTTTGTATGTAATAAAGTAAGAGTTATACTTATTTCTCCTTATCCTCTGATCCCTTAGGGCATTTTCAAATCAACCCTGTATCCGGGGATGTGACCCTTCTGAGGCAGCTTGACCGGGAGCTTGAATCCCAGCACAACCTGACCATCAGGGCCACTGACCAGGGAGCTCCGCCTCAGTCCGCGACCACCACGCTCAAGGTCATCGTACTCGACTTCAATGATAACGCCCCTCAGTGGAGCCCGCAGAGCTACGTGGACAGCATCCTGGAGAACGTGCCACTCAACACGTTTGTTCTACAGGTTAGAGATCAGCTAGGAGATGCAATGATGATGATGATGATTATCGTGTACACGATCATTGTCATGGTGACGATGATGACGATGATGATAATAATATAATGATTTAAGATTTGTATAGTGCACATATCTGCCTATAATGATGATGTTGATGATGAACATTATGTTCACCATCATTATCATGGTGACAAAGATTATCATGTTCACGATCATAAAATTAATACAAAATAAAAATTGTGCTTATAAAGCGCTTACCACCGAAGTCTCTAAGCATGGTGACGATGATGAGGAGGATGATGATGATGATGTTCACGATCGTTATCATGGTGATGATGATGACGATGATGACGATGATGATTATCATGTTCACCGTCATTATCATGGTGACAATGATGATGATAAGGATGATGTTTGTGATGGTGGTGATGATGATGATGATGTTGATGGTGATGATGTTGGTGGTGAGGGTGTATGATGATGATGGTAATAGTGATCATCATCGTCATCCTGGCGGTGATGATGGTGATGGTGGTTTTGATCATGGTGATGATGATGATAATGATCATGATCATGATGATGGTGATGATGTTGGTGATGATGAATAATGATGAAATTATAGTGGTGATGGTAATGTTTTTGGTATATAAGGCATTAATCCTTGTTTACTAAATGGCACATATATGAATTTCAGCTATAGTTTCTCTTTTAAAGGGTTGTTTTAAACCCTGTTGTCTCCAAAATGTTCCTTACTCTTTTCATCCCTTTCTTCTGATTTACTTCCTTTTATTCTCTCCCTCTTCTCTGGTCTTATTTCTTGCTGTCTCCTTTTCTCCTGCTTCCTGCTGTCTCTTATGATCTGACATTGTGGATTTTAATTATTCATTTGCTCTTCTATCCTTCTATACTTTTTATATGTATTTTATTCATTGTTCTCTTGTATTCTCTATCTCCCTTTCCTCCCGGTTCAAAGGTGGTAGCTACCGATGCTGATCAAGGCACCAACGCTGACCTGTCATTCACCATCAACAATGCCAACAACGTTCCTTTTGTCATTGATGACCAGGGCAACATAAGAACATCTGGTCCTTTGAACAGAGAAACTGTACCTCAATACAATTTTCTGGTTACGGTGCTAGACAGTAAGTTTTATTTGATCAAGACCATTTTATGTCTCGTACTTTGTAGACTACATTACAGTATATGCAGGTATTTTTCACGGGGGTTTTATTTTAGTGAATCACTCATTGATTGCTAATTTGACAATATTTGTTACATATAATATTATTACATTTTGTAAATGGAAATCACCAATGGGAGCTACAGTGTACATTTCCACTATCAAATTATAATTTTGTTGTTGTTAAGATTGTATCATAAAAATCAGTTGTTTTTGTTTAGATGGTAACTAAAGAAATCCAATATCATCTTGTTTCTGTAGATGGTAGCCCGCAGCAAGCAGGCAACCCTCCCGCCACCGTCACCATCAACATCTTGGACGTTAACGATGAGCCTCCTGTCCTTGATCGGAATTCCTACGAGTTCACCGTCTCTGAAGATGTCAACTTCAACACCTTTGTTGGACAGGTAGAATTCCTAAAGCCCCACTGTACTACTTGTACATGTAGCTACTTGCTCCCTCTATATAGAAAACAATGCCTAAGCGGTGCCCGTTGGTCCACCATGATCTACTTTTTATTGTGTTAATTGAGAGCTGAGTTGATGAAATAGCCACCTGTCAGTGACCACTCTTGTTGGTGCAATCCCTCCTGGCCAAACTAGTACAGATGGCTTTAAAGTAATATTTATAATGGTATTCTGTTGTTGGTAAATCCATATCACGTTTGTCTCTTGCACTTCATAGTGCATACAGTCAAACTTGACCTAGCGGCCACCTCTCTATAATGGTCCCATACTCATAGTGCTTCCCTCTAGGAAAAAGCATGTAATGTAGAATGGCCACCTGTCTACAGTGGTCAGTTTTCCTATTTCCGATGGGTGGCCTTTATAGACAGGTAAGGTTTCCTGTGTTCTTTTTCTCCCAAGCTTATGCAGCACATGGAAATTGGAAGACTTTATCAGTACATTCAATCCAATTCAACCCAGGAATTTATAAATTGCGTTTTTGAGTTGCCTAATCAAAGGCGCTGATGAGACTAAAAAGCTACCAAAAAGTACATGTAGCGTTAAGATTCCTAGAAGTATAAGTGTTAACTGGATTTATCACAGATTGGAAAAGGAAAACAAACATGTTTCAAACTGTGTTAATTGGTTATGGTATGGTGAATACAAACCCTAAGATAGATCTGGCTGGAGTCAATGGTGAATACATGTTACGGGGTATACCAAAATCAAATTAAATCTAACGGGTTAACAAAATGTTGTTATTCCACAGGTCACTGCCACAGATCCGGACCTCTCCGGAACCCTAACGTACACCTTCGTGCCAGCTGACCCAGACTTCAGCTACATCTCAGGAACCATCCGCACCAACACCCAACTGGACGCCAACCAGCAACAGGTCTACCAGATGACCGTTTTTGCTTCGGACGGTGTCCAGAACTCGCAGTCGGCACCGGTCACCATCAACGTGCTGGACGTTAATAACCAGGCACCGTCCTTCGGGTTGGGCACCTATGTCAAGTCTCTTCCAGAGGACTCTCCGTTTCAGACTCTCGTCGTTGATCTGAATGCTACAGATCCGGACAATGGTATGCTCTTTTTAAAGTAGACATTCTAAGACAATAAATGTCCATCAATAACAGTAAGCATACGTTATTTATAAGTTGTTCATTTACATAGCATATCACAGACATCTTCTGGCAACTGGATATCCTCCATTAAAATGTCGAAAAATATCCTCCTCTCTTTGTCTAGAAAATCAGTTACGGAGCTGGTCCACTATTTGTGACGTCACAACCGGGAAAGAGTACATGTATATTCACGTAGTCGGATGTATGCTTTTTTAAAACTTTCTCTTTTTAGTCCACTGAATATTGAAATCTCTCATTCCCATAAGCTTAATACGGTGATTGCCCGGTTCTAGTAGAAAATTGGTTAATTGTGCTTTTTGCACAATCTCAACTATGTTGCATCTACATTGTATATTACATGAAGTTATGTCCGATTCTGCCAAATGTTTTCCTGAGTGGCTAGTTTGGACTGAGAGTGAACTAAAGCTTCATTCTGATATAAAGTGGTAACTATGGTGTTTAAAAAAAATATAATGACTTTAGTGTAATATGCTTTACATTTCTGCATGTTATAATACAAATCCCAGTGAATTACACCTAGGACCATTTGTTAAAATTTTAATGTATTATTAGCTTTCTATTCAGAGTAAAGGTCACATCAGTTTCAATTGTATGACTGATCTGATGTCACTACAATTTGGCTTTTTCTTCTACAATAATAAAAAATAATATTCCGCTTCTATTAAATGCTCAATACATCAATGTCTCTAAGTGCTTTAAAGATATATTTACTTGCTTTCTTAGCAGCAGTCCGGTAAAACAAACAAAACTGTATATGTTTGTACATTTTGTATTTATGTTGTAGGGCCTCCACGGAAAACAGTATTGAATGACTGATGGAGTCATCCTACTAAAACAAGACTATAAATAAATAAATATATAAAATAAACAAACCAATATACATGATCATGTAAATGTAGTGTTTGAGAATTTTTAGCAGCATGACCCTCTAGATTCTGATCAGTCAAACAAAATTTTGTCCTTCCTACATCTGCAGGAAACACAGGACTGATCATCTACAGCTTTGAGAGCCTGAGCCGAACTCAAGGTCCCTTCACCGTCGACCCCTACACCGGGGTCGTGGAGATCTCAACGACTGCTGGCCTCGATAGAGAGACTCAGGACGAGTACACCATGATCGTAATTGCTGTCGACCAACCGGCCAGTGGTCAGCCTATGACAGGCACGGCCACCGTCTCGGTGATAGTGACCGATGTCAATGACAACGCACCAACTTTCCGCGACATTTCGTACGAGGAATCAATTTTTGAGAACCATCCTCTAGGCTCAAATATTCTCACTGTAAGTATTTTGGAATTATAAAGTATTTAGAGGTGTATTTATCAATCTTAGATTTAAGTTCTTTTAAGTCAATGGTTCTGGAACATTTATGTCGTCATCTGACATTCATCGTCAAGTCAGTGCCTTGCTGGACTCGCAAATTACAAATCTTCAAGTACTGCACCCCAGAGGGTTTGTTAATGCTTGACATCGGTTTCTATGCAACTCACACAATGCAGTTCGCCCAATGCACAGCTACATTCTGTACATAAAACTCAAGTTAGATTTTTTCACGTATGTCCCACTCATATCCTTTGAAGCTTCAAAAACCCCTGTTGCAGTCTAGGTCCCCAGGTCTTTCACGGTTTCTTAAGTGATTCCAATGTAATATTGCACTAAAAATTCATGTACACTTTGTTCTTCCACTTTTGTAACTGATGAAATATGTGAGATCTTTCAAAATGACCACATGTTGCAACGCTGCAAATTATGAAGTTTCTTTGATTTTTGAGTGTCCCTCTGAGTAGAAAAAGTACATCATTTTCACAACTGTCTGTTAAAACTTGATTTCACTAAAAGGTACAAGCTGATGACCCAGACTTGGGAGTGAATGCTGTGGTTCTCTACCGTATCATCAGCGGAAACAACAACAACCTATTCAACGTTGACGGTCAAGGGAACATCAACCTCGGGAGCACACCTCTGGATCGGGAGATGCAAGACCAGTATTTCCTCATCGTTCAGGCCTATAACAGCGACCTGTCAGTGGGAACCAACGAAGGTAAATTGATTTCTGTAATGAAAAGCTTGTATTTGAATGATTCGTTGATCTAACATTTGCTCAGGGCATTGTTTCATGAAACTGTCATAAGTTCAAGGACATCTTATTGAACCGTATGTACTAAAATTAACATGCATTTCAAAGTGATGTTGGCAAACTTGTTCCATATGACAGTTTCTTGACACAATTATGCCCTGGTCTCTATTTTGTCAAAGATATACATGTGGTTTTGGGTGAAGGAATTTGACTGAATTGAGAAATTTATTCTGGAGAAATTATTGCCTCGGCATATGTGCTACAATCGAAGGATTCACATTGCTTACTACTTTCATCAGAATTTGTGATTGCGATTGTGATTCCTTATGTAATCTTGTTTTGAGGTACTTGAGGTGATCTGTCTGAAAGATGATTTTATGAAGAGATGTTTAACACAAAGAAGTCCATTTGAACAGAAAAATATGTACCATATATATTATAAGTAATGTGGTTTTAAAAAAAAATTGTTACATAATCCTCATAATTGTTTTTTATTTGATTTCTGTCTCACAGTGCCAGTGATCATCAACATTCTTGACATCAATGATGTGACGCCATTGTTCCAGCAGCAGAACTACTATAGGCCAGACCTTTCAGAGAACTCACCTAGTGGAACCCCAGTCCTCCAGGTCTTCGCACAAGATCAGGACCTGGACTTGGCAGGCGATGTGCAGTATAGCTTAATTGGTAAGTTCCTTTCTGAATAAGGCCCTTAATTCCCATTCTCATGGGATACGTATGTAGATGTAACTAAGGCTTTAAGATTACTCAACTGTTTTCAGTGCAAGATAATAAATTCTGGTGCTGAAATGGTTGATACGGAGCAAATCATGAGCCGGAATCGGCAATTTTGCAAAGCCATTATGTTGTACGAAGCACCCTGTCTATCAGGTGGTGCCTACTGTTTTGTGCAAAAATGAGCGTGTGGCAACCTTGTATAGATGAGAAGAAAGCAACCCCAGTATTAATCTTGTCAAAAATGTATTCTCTTCAGGGAACCCTAACTTCTTGACCATCAACTCTGACACTGGGGTCATCTCGGTCAACGGTCCTATCGCTGACCTCAGTGGGTCAAGGAACTTCACTATGACCGTCAGAGCCACCGATCAGGCCAGCCCGTTCCTTAGGGGCGTGGCGACGGTTACCGTGACGGTCGTGGATGACACCGTGACAATACCGATATTCACTCTATCAAGATATCCTGCAACTGTGATTGAGAATGTTAATGCTGATACACCTGTGACCAGGGTAAGTTTAGTTGCTGAAGCTTGTTTTGTATGATCTCCAGTTTGCTCCATATCAGTGCTCTTGTTATATGCCTCCGCAACAAAGTAGCCGGAGGCATTATGTTTTGGAGTTGTTCGTACGTCCCGTTCTCGTGATCGCGTTATCTCAAGAATCAATTGATGGATTCCCCCCGAACTTGGGTCATGTATGTATCTTGCATAGCCAATGAACTGATTAGATTTTGGGGTCATGAGGTCATTGGGCTCATTGTGTTTGCAAAAATAGCTTGTGAACGCATCATTAAAACCAACAGATGGACTACTATCAGAATCAGGACATGTATGTATCTTGCAGAGCCATCTTTATGAAAAATAGCTGGATATAAAGAACTGATTACCTGATTACTATTTTCATATATAAATGTTATTTATAACTTTATAACTCAGTGGCCTAGAAATCCATTGACCAGAGGTTACTATAATAACATCGTAGAAGCACATAGAATTTAAATGTAATGCACTATATAAATGTAATAACTTTTTCTTCTTATTATAATCAATATTTTGAAACAGGTTTCTGCTACATTGAATGGAAACCCGGCTGGTATAACATACGCCATCGATCCTAACGCTAGCCCTGCTGTCTTAGAAATCTTCAAGATTGATGAGAATACCGTAAGTCTCTCCAAAGTGAAAAACTTTCATATCAGTTTGTGCGCTACGTGTATCATTTCATGCCATGGAAAGCGTTTACGTCAAAACAATGAAAATTGAGTTGTGCATTATAGAAAAAAAGTAAGATTAATTTTTGTATTCTGAATGTTTGTTTTAAACCCTAGCCACAACTAGACCGACATCAGACAGAATATAACATTATATTACCCCCAATGACCGAAAATCGGTTAGTTTATAGTCAGTGAGGAGTCGCTTTGACAGTGTGACTGACATATTAAATGCTAAAGAGATGAACTCCTTTCAGGTTTTCCTTAGTACTAAGTATATGATTCTATTATACTGTATAACACTTTCCTGATTTTATTCCAGTATTGATAACTGATAAATAATGCTTAGCAATAAATACACAGTCAAACCTGCTTTAGTGACCACCTGTCTACAAAGACCACATTTTTTTCCCCTTGAAAAATGATTGAAAAATGAACTAAAGGAACCTGTACATAAAGACCACCTGCCTGTAAAGACCACTTTTCTTGTCTCTGTTAGGTGGTCTTTATAGACAGTTTTCACTGTACATGTACTGTACTTGTACATGTATGACTGCATGCGTCCCACAGAGTTGATAGGTCATGAATGAAGAATAACTGCAGAATCACAAAATTATGCCAGCAGACTGAAATGATCCACATGTTGTGATATCGTATCCCACCGCTGCCACTGGTTCTATTATGTGAATGGAATTTTATGTGAAATAATACTTTCTCCCCTCTTCAATGTCTTTGCAGGGCCACATCACCACTGAGGGCGCTATTGATCGAGAGGTCGAGGACTTCTACGCCTTCACCGTCTTTGCCTATCACGAGGATAGTGTCGCACCAGGCTCTACATCGGTACAGTAACATTCTTCATTCTATATTCTTCTATATTTCTTTCTTTTTGACTTCTTCCCTTTATTCTTATGTTCTATATAATTTGTATTATATATATGTATTTTATTTATTTGTTCATACTTTTTATACATTTCATATTTTTGATATGATTGTATTTATATTATATACTTGTGTAATTTTATGTCTGATCACCTGGAAGGAATTTTCTTCTTTTGCTTTGGAAGAAGACAATAAATGATATAGTCTGTTTGATTCTAAAAAGTTAAAAGCAGGGTTCCCAAATATCTTGGGATTCAGTTGAAACCTAGAAGTTACCGACAGGGAAAAGTCAACAAAATCACCCAAATCAGGGAATTTCATTGGCATAGAGAGAAGAAGTCGGTCTCTTATATTTTATCTTGAGTTTGGAACAGCTTGTCCACGAGATGAAGACGTCTCTTACTAGATATTAGATTGAAATATGATCCTGGAATTTTGAAACTCTATCAGGGAACCATCAGGGAATGTTCTTTTCATGAAATTTCAAAGATTTTTAGTATCAATGGCTGGAATCGAGCTACACGAACGCTTCTTTATGTGTACATGCGAAGTGCAGTCAAAGCTGCATCTCTCTATAAAGGCTACCTGTCTATAGTGGTCACCCATTTTGACTTCCTAAAGAAGGAGATTTAGGTTGAAGAAGTTGTCTTAAAAAGGCCAACTGTCTACAGGGCCCACTTTGGTGTTTCCCTTGAGTGGCCTTTGTAAACAGTTTTTGCATCTAATGATATAATGACTGCTGTGAGAGAAATAGTTGTTTTATAGGCTCTAGGGGATGTTGCATCCTGACATCCCCAAGAGAAATCGGATGGCTGGATTTCTTAAGAGAGGTATATAAAATTTAATGCTCCTTTCCTTTCTAGGTGTGGGTGAATATCCTTGATGAGAATGACAATCCACCAGAGTTCATCACCGTACCCCCATCCCCAGTGAGTGTCACGGAGAACACCGGAGGGAACGTTCCTGTAGGGCTGTTCAGGGCTACAGATCCAGATACTGGTATTAATGCACAGGTGAGGACCATGAAGAATCAGGAGGAGGAGGAGGAGAAAGATGATGATGATGATGTTGGTGGTGGTGGTGATGATGATGATGATGATGGTGGTGATGATGATGATGATGGTGATGATGATGATGATGATGGTATTAATGCACAGGTGAGGAGGAGGACAATAATGATGATGATGATGATGATGATGATGATGAAGATGATGAAGATGATGTTGGTATTAATGCACAGGTGAGGACCATGAAGAATGAGGAGGAGGAGGAGGACGATGATGATGATGATGATGATGATGATGATGATGAGGAGGAGGAGGAGGGCAATGATGATGATGATGATGATGATGAGGAAATCAGGAGGAGGAGGAAAAGGATGGTGATGATGATGATGATAATGTTGGTGAGATTGATCATGCTGATTCTAAAGATGAAGATGAGGAGGATAATAGTGGTGGTAATGATGTTGTTGATGATGAGGAGAAAGATGGTGACATCAAGGTGATTGTGATTATGGTAACAATGATATTGATGATTGTGTTAATGATATCATTGGTGATGAAGTTGCAGATGAAAATGAGGGGGAGAAAGACGGTGGTCATGATGATGTTCATAATCAATTTTTTTAATGTAAAGGATGATGGTAATGGTGATGGTATTCCGGTTGTTGATGATGATGATGATGATGACATGATACAGAAATCACAGTTGATTACATTTTCTCTTTCAGATGACCTTCTCTATCTCGGGGGCAGGCTCCAACTTTTTCAACGTCTTCCAGACAGCTAATGGTGGAGGTACTATTGTAGTAACCAGCCCACTAGATAGAGAGAGGCAGGACTTCTATCAGCTGACTGTAAGTCTCAACAACACCTTTTTTTATTGGAATATTCTAAACGTGGTTGAGCCACCAGTACAATTCATAGCAGTCCAGAGCAAAACAAACATTTAAAAAAAGGAAGAGATGATGTCTAACTGCAAAATATCTGATTATCATATGATGTGGATCTTAAAAATTCCAGTGACCTAATTGTACACCAATTACCCAATCCATGATAATATCTCTGCTGGTCATAGAATCCAGGAAAACCTACTTATACATGGATACTAAACCCTGCCATAAAAAAACAGTATCTGGTTGGACATATTGTTTAATCACCAATGTTTTTGTATGTTAAAAGAAATTGGTACATTTGTCTCTCTGTTTAAAGGTTCTAGTTTGGATGCTTTGTATAGTGAATGGGTCGAATTTATAAAAACATTTATCAGTCAGTAAAGCTTAGTAATTCTGGTTATATCTGAGGATACAATGCTAAAGTTGATGCACTGTACTATCTGAATACAGGTGACGGCTACCGATGGTGGAAATCCATCTCTGAGCTCCTCCTTCCCACTCAACATCACTGTGACCGATGTCAATGATAACTACCCCATATGGACACGCAACGTCTACGAGGGATCAATCAACGAGGTAACAAGAAGTCTTTTATTATTTCTCATATTTTCTCTTTTCTCTCGTCTTTTCTAGTCTCATCTCTCGATTTTTTGTTCTTGTTGTTGTTGTTGTTGTGTGAGTACACTTCTTGTTTCTTATACCACCTTTTTCCTAACGTATTCTTAGGTAGTCACAAATATATACTCCCATCATGTTTATCTTGTTGCTTATTTATGTACCAACCAAATATTTGGTCCAGAAGGGACCCTAAAACTTACAACCTCTGCTTTTACCAGGGTCTCCTCGTCTTTCTTTTAGTTCACTTTGTTTTTATCATTGCCATAATTTGTTTTTTTGCATTGTAATTGTGTAATAATCTAATGTTATGCTCTGTGTGACATTTGAAAGAAAGATGAATAAATATCTTATCTTATCTTATCTGATCTGATCTTACCATTTTGATGAACATTTATATTGCATTTCGGCAAAAGAGTACTTCTCTTGACTTCTTCCGAAAAGATCTGTAAACATAAGTCTTCAATTCTTCATTTGTCCTAAGACTATAAAGGGGCAGCGCCTTGTGTCCTCTGGAAAAGGCGGTGTATTAATCCAATTCTTCTTATTATTATTAGTTACAGGTCTGCATTAATTGTCTTAGAATGATAAATTACATGTAGGTCAAAGATGACAAGCCATTATTTTCTTATTGAAAGTGATAACTGTTTCAGGATTTTAATTGAAGCTATTTTCTTACGTGACTTTACCAAATTTTTAACAGAATAACTTCACCTCCAACCCCATCATCACTGTGATGGTCAACGATCTCGATCTCCCGTCGTCCAACAACTTTGAGTACTCCATCATCGCCGGTGATCCAATGGGCATGTTCGAGATCAACAGTAACGGAGAGATCACTGTGTCCAGCCTCTTGGACAGAGAGCAGCAAGAAACTTATCAACTGACCATTGAGCTTATAGACCAGACCAACTCACCTCCAGCCCGGGTAAGTGGTAATTGTAGTAGTAGTAGTAGAAGTAGTAGTAGTAGTAGTAGTGGTAGTGGTGGTGGTTGTAATAGTAGTAGAAGTAGTAGTAGTAGTAGTAGAAGTAGTAGTAGTAGTTGTAGTAATAGTAGTAGTAGTAGTAGTGGTGGTGGTAGTTGTAGTAAAAGTAGCAGTAGTAGAAGTAGTAGTAGAAGTAGTAATAGTAGTAGTAGTAATGGTAGTTCTTGTAGTAGTACTACAAAAGTAATAATACCACAAAAATTAATGAATTCAACATGCATGGGGTTTACAGGAAATATCTGATGTACAGTACTGTTTCACAACCACTTTCATGTGCATGATGCTACATGTATGTTCAAATCCATGTAGGAAGAAAATTGGATCATTTGCCAAGAGGGTGCTGCACCTCGGTGACCAGCTTTCATTTTTGGGCCTCATTTTGTTGTGTATATGATACCTATAAATGTGCAGTTAATTGAACATGAGCGATGCAAATATCCATTGACATTAAATTTAAGATTGAATTGAGATTGAATTTAAATAACCAACTGTCGCTTCAATGAAAACCACTACAGACTACCACCTTGGCTATCATCACCGTGGGAGACGAGAACGACAACACACCGATCTTTGCCGAGACCGTCATCAGGGTCGACGTGACGGAGGGGCCGTCCTCTCAGAACATTCCAGTCTACATGCTGACGGCGAATGATATTGATCTAGGATTGAACAGGGATATCATCTATGCCATCGGGTCTCAACAACCTCAATCTCATTTCCAGATTAATCCTGAGACGGTAGGTGCCATTTTGTAGCAATTCTGTTTCATACCGTCAATAACATTAGCAGGTGTACAATTTTTAATGTACATTTGCAACTCTCCATTCAGGTTTTTTAAATTATCATTATTACTCGTACATTTTATCTTTGCACCAAATCTTTTGCCAACAAAAATTGACATCAAGCTGAAGTTATTTGCCCGTTTTGGGATTAAATCCCACCGCTGCCACTGTTTTTTGATATTTTTTATTTGCTTATTCTGTTAACATTACTGTAAGGTTGCTATGTAAATACACTACTTTTATTATAATTATTGTTATTGTGGTTGGTATTATTATTATTGTTATTATAATTATTATTATGATCATCTCTGTAACTACATTGTAGTATTATCATCATCATTATTTTATGATGTGTTTTATTTCTATGGCAGTCACATGAAATCCACAAAATTATGCCAGCAGGCTGAAATGATCCACATGTTGTGATATCATATCCCACCGCTGCCATTGTTTCTATTACCTGTATATGAAATTGAATTTTATATGAAATTCTATAAAATAGTTTAAAAGAATGAATATATATTGGCATGCTGTGAGCTCAAATCCCATTATTGCCACTGAATGTGATATCATATTTGTTGAATCGGATTTCTATTCTTTTTCTATGTACTATGTTTACATACAGCACTATATCTCTAACATTTAACCAAGTCCATTTGTTTTCCTCCCTTTTAACATTTTTATTTGTAGGGTATGATATCGACCACCACCGCTCTAGACTGGGAGACTATATCGGAATACACCCTCATCGTGACCGCTACCGACCAGTCACCAACAGAACCTAGGACTGGCACTGCTACAGTGAGTACTCAACACATCCGCAAGTCAATGCAGTCTTAATATATAGGGGTCGTTTTCTGAAAACTGTTGTCATCTATGTTCAAAATATGATGTTTATTGTCATAATGAATTTAAATTGCATGGAATTAGCAGTTTTGGGTGCTTGTGCAGATGGCTCTTGAAGATTTATGGGAACGCAGCCAGCTTTCGGCACACATTAATCAAAGACAAGTCGAAGACAGCTTTGGTTTGTTATGACTTATAACATTGTCTTCATGACAACAAAGATACAATCGTTTTCAGAATACCACCCCTAGTTCTTAAGTATTTATATCGGTAGGCCTACAGTGTATATATGTGAACATGATAAGAAGGACTTTGATTTTTTTTCTCTATCAAAATTTGAATCTACTACCGTATTTGCCGGCATAAAGGCCACAGTATTTTTGGAAGAGAAAATATCAAAAAGTCGGGGTGCGGCCTTTACGACGAAAGAGTAAAAATAAATTTAAAAAAAAACCGAAATCAAAACCAGCACGAATTAGCCCATATGGGACTACAAACAGTAAAATAACTATACCACTATGGTACAGGACATTTTCAAACATCTTACCGACAATTTTATCTTGCATTGTTGACATGAAGACGAAAATGACTTCCTAAAACAACATTTGCCGATATATATCTTGATCTAAGTTTGTGCCAATGCATTGCAAAAGTAAAGGAAGGGACCTTTTAACGGACCTGCCGCGAAGCATCAATCCGAAGTCACCATTTTGTTTTTCCATTTCATGCCATTTCGCATTACACCGTACATTGTGGTAGGGGTATATCGGACACCAAATCTGCCTGCGATCTCTTTTTTAGCTAAACTTCCAGTAAATTATAAGAATATTGATGAATTTGGTATCAGTTTGTAAAAAAATAGTGTTTTAAGAGAAAATTATGATTATTTTGTTTTGTCCGTTGTTTTTTTTTTCCTTTTTTTTTTCTTTTTTCTTTTCCCTCTTTGAAATGTCAAAGTTGGGGTGCAGCCTATGCGGCGGTGCGGCCTTATCGCCGGCAAATACTGTATTAACTTGTTATAAGATGCTCACACAAAAAAGAAGGGTTTATCCCTCCTCGAAGTTCACTGGAGCATTTGAAAAAAACCTTACATTTAATCAACACATTGTAATGAGTCCACATCAAAAGAAGATGAATGCATGCAAAGTGTATACTTATCTTAAGTTTCAATACATTTCAAAGTGTATTTGATGTAGAAAAATCAAGATATAACATATGAAATACATGTAGAATACATGAATCATAAAAGAAAAGTTTTTGAGGGGGGGCTGAAATTGTTGGTGGCTTTCATCTACACGTACCATTCTGTCTCTTTGTTGACCACCAGGTAATCGTCAGCGTGAATGACATCAACGATGGTGCTCCGATGTTTGTCAGGGATGTCTACGGACCATACAGCGTCGTGGAAGAGGTTTCCAACTCCTACATTGATTCTTTCCAAGCAACAGACACAGACCAGGGACTAGCGGGAACGGTCACCTACAGCGTGATAGGACAGTATAGTAGTAAGTATGGTATTCTGTGGCATTCTACAGAAATGGTGCAGCCGTAAGGCCCATTTAGTCATAAGCTTGAAAATTGCTCTTCAAATCTTGTCTACAAAACTTCTTCTGCAAAAGTTTAGATCGGCATTAGGTTTTGGCTTTCATCCATCGACATGTAGAAATGAAGGCACCCCTCCTCCCCCCCCCCCCCCTCACCTCAATGTGATGTCGATGCCTCCTCAATTTTGGGACCCACGGAAACGTCGCTGATTACGTTTAGAACCTGTACCCATCTTCCTTTATTATAAATTTCCACATTCATATAAAAAATGATCGCTGAAACTTTCGAGAGATCAATTCAAAGGCAATTTGAATAACTTGTTTTGCCTATAGAAACTGGATTACATAATGGTTCTCATATTGTAACGTCCGTGCAATTTCCAAAGATGACGCATAAGGCTTTTGAAATGGCCTGAGCTAGACTTGTTGAAAGTCTATGCATTTTATACTTCTATATATTGTTTAGCAACTTGATTGAGTTTCATATCCAAATACTTTTAACTTCACATCCACAGATCTGTTCTTCATTCAGCCTCAAACTGGTGTGTTGACTATCAGGCCTGACAGAGCTCTAGATTACGAGACGATCACTGAATTCAACATCACCGTGGTTGCCACGGATATGGGGAACCCCGCCCTATCATCATCGGTGAGTATGATTATACGCCCGAAGCATGACATCAGCTGCTACTATGACAGTAACCTGGCTTTTTATTTTGTTGAAATTAGTAAAACCTCGGTCACAAATGCCATTACGAACTGCTACAAACGCCGTAGTAACTTTTTTCAGACAATGGAAATTCGGAAACAATGGAAAAACAGGGAGATTCGTACGAACGATGCGTTCGTACGAACCTTTGTGACTGTAGCTTTACATGATTTCAAGTAGTTTAAAGAAATTTTCTGCATGTACATATTCTGATATATGAAGATGTGATTACCGGTAGGATAAAATGGATGATGATGATGATGATTGCAATGATGTTTATGATGGTGAATATAATAAAGGTGATGATGAAGAGGAGACTGATGAAGACAATGATGATGATGATGATGATGATTGCGATGTTTATGATGGTGATGATGATAAAGGCGATGATGATGAGCAGGATGATGATGACAATGATGATGGTGATGGTGACATTGGTTAGGAGGAGGAAGAGAGAGGAGGATAATAGCGATGATGAAGATGATGATGTGATAATAGTGGTAAACAATGTTAGTGGTAGAGATGAGGATGATCATAATGATAGTGATAAGAAGGAGGAGGATATTGATCTTACTGATGACTTTCAGATGATGATGTTTGTGATGCCAGAACTGCTTACCATGTAAATATTGATGGTGATGGTCGGATGACAGTTGGGTGCAGGACACTAAATGATTCTCATGATTCTCTGCTGTTTACCTTGGTTAAGATGATAATGATTAGAAAAGTATAAAATAAGGTCCTCTTGAATTATAGGTGTGAGTTCATGTATCTGGTATTAAGAAATGACTTTTATGCCCGTATACACCTAATGAACATTTCTTCTGTTTGGAGCCAAAAGATCGTTAGCCCATATACTTTTACAGACAGTTAATGCCCTTCTGACTCTGAACAGATGATTTGTACATAAAGATGTTATTTCATAATATGTGCTATACAAGAACTGAATATTATTATAACTATTATTGATTCTTACTCCATGCAGACTTTAGTTGGAATCAATGTCATCAACATCAACGACCACACCCCTATCTTCGAGGGGATCCCGTACACCATCACCCTCAGCAAGAACATCTCGGCAGGCTCACTGGCATACGTCGTCAGGGCAACGGATGATGATGCTGGCATCTTTGGCGAGGTCCGGTATCAGATCACAGATGGAAACACCGACAACATCTTCAGGATTGATCAAACGGTCAGTTTGATTGAGATTACTTTCATATTTATTAGGACTTTGCTTTGAGGCTTCAATCCATTGCCAGCAGGTACTGAGAGGCCTCTGTATTAGGCCAATGGGAGTGAGATGATTCAGTTGTCAATGGGTTAAAATCAGTTTTTCTTGCTTTATATTAGGGGGGTGTTTCACAAAGATCCTAAGTTGAACTTATCTTTAAGTTGGATATAAGGAAAGCCGTTAGCATCCTTGAAAATTGTGTAAAAGTTATTTTAAAAGGCATAAAATGATGATTCAAATCATTCATATTTTCTATTATCAAGGAGATTTTATGTTCTTGATGTGGAATTTATAAAAAATCTAAAGTACCTGATTTTTCGCTTTTTAATATATTTTATTTTAAGGCTATAAATGGCTCTCAATAATTCTTCAGTTTAACTTAGATCTTTTTGAAACACCCTCCAGATGTCTCTATGATGATTTTGTTGTCTTTTAGTCTGATTGTTAATAATTTACTGTGAAACCTGCCTATAAAGACCACCCGAGGGATACAAGAAAAGTGGTCTTTAGAGGGAGGTGGTGTTTCTACACAGGTATTCCCTACAGCAGGTTTGAAGGTAACTTATTAAAGCTATACTGTACTAGAAGCATGTACTTCTGCAAAATCACCTCTAGCGCCATCTTGTGTCATCAGTAGCAGTATGGTCCTGTAACTCGCGCTCCCCTGGCTGGTTCTCGCTTTCAAGTCAACCGTCTGCAAAGTGGAAATTAGGTATTGGGTTATGTACTGTCGGCAAGTTGACCATGAGATGGCGCTGTGCAATTAATAAACTGTACCATAGGGCAGAAAGCTCAGCAGTTCAGTATCGCTTTAATGGTTCATGTACCATTCTTGATTTGTTATTTTAGATTGATTCCATGGGTGCGACAGAAGAAAAGGTAGGATTGGATGGGTCCGGGAAAGGTTTAATGATAATTAAATCATGAAGAGAATAATATTTCATTCACTAGGAGATCACTAACTAGACCATGGATTGAAGAAATATTTTATTTTACATATATTATTGATACACTGTATATGTAACCACAGGTATTGAAGTTAAATACATGTACTAATACATACTATACAAATATTCACTACTTTGAGGGGCACAGTTTACAATATTTCCTAAGGTGATCTCAAAACTCGGCCCTATTTCTTAAAACTTGATATAAAAAACAAGTTACAAGCTACTTTTATAAGCTACTGAAATCATGGCATCTGATTGGCTGAGAGCAAATTTGTCATAGAAATTTAGCAGTTGTTATACATGTACATGTAGATAACAAGTTTTATGAAACAGGGCCCCAGCACTGTGCCCTGAGAGATCACAGAGGAGCTATTGTTTTAACCGTCACACAAAAAATAAGCAGTCAATATTTTTTTTATATGCTGCATCCCCAGTGTCAATTCTATTAAAAAGGCTTATCTTAACAATTAATTTGTAGAGTCAAAGGCAATTTAACTGTTTCACTGCGCGTATCCATTCTTAACTTCACGTGCAACCATTGCGCCCTTGCATTGTACATGCAAGTATAACTATGTCCGGTCAACATTTGTTGCTATACTGCTCAGCAGCCTGTAGTGAATTTGTGGTATAAAAATTTAAATATAAGTAATAACTTGGGTAACACTGAGTACACGTACAAACAATCATAAATACATTTAGACTACCACATGGAAATACCTGTAGTTTTGATTGTCAATACTTACCCACAAGGAAACATAATTTTCTACATATTTAGGTTCACTAATTTATTGTGGTAAGAATTAACAATGAAGCCAAGTTTTGAAAATCAATATCCAATTCCTACATACATGTATAGTATGTGTGAATTCTGTTTGTACATAATGTCTTTGAAACCTACACTATATTACCATCTTGTACCTGCTCATTTGCTAATTGGTGAGGTCTCTTGGGTTGTTGGAGACTATGTAGTACATGTACATATAGTATCTAGGAATACATACACTGTACATCTATTCTATGTTTCTCTATTTCTTGTTAATTTTTACAGACTGGTCAGGTCTTTTTAGAAGGGTTCTGAAAAACTTTTACCCATTAATTGAATCATGGATACAATCTAATCTGGTTTCTATATTGCATATTCATTGTACAGACTAATTAGGTCTTTATAAAAGGATTATTGAAGAATGGTACTTATTATCTAGTAATACATACATTCTATTTTCCCTATAACTTGTCCACACAATCTATTCATTCCTATTACTCGTCCATTGTACAGACAGTGAGATGTTTGTAGAAGGTTATTGGAAACAGGTACCCATAATCTAGTATTAAGTCCATGTACAATCAACTTTTCCATATCATTCATTTAACACACTGGTGAGGTGTTTTTACATGTAAGAGGTGTATTGGAGTCTATTAACTACAAGCTAGCTGGACATGTACATGGACTTAAAATATTGTTAATTTGTGATTACTCGAGAAACTATACCACTTGTTGATTTTCTTATTTATATAATTGTTTTATATATGTATTGTGAAACAAAATTTTCATGTATGAATGAAGTTAACTTACTAATATCAATTCAATCTATTTTCCCCTATTAATTGTTAATTTTACAGACTGGTGAGGTGTTTGTGCAGGGACTGTTGGAGACAGGTACTTATCGTCTTGTAGTAGAAGCAAGGGACACACCTGGAGACATACCTAGCTCAAGAGCTGTAAGTATTCTTTAGCGACCCTTAAGTTACAATGCACAAAAATTGTAATGTTTTGTGATATTGAAAACCATTAGCATCCATGAAATTGTAAAGTCTGTGTGATAATATACATGTATTCATGTACATGTATATCAGCATGTGAATCAGTAATACATCATTCTGAAAAAGTGCATTAAACTGACCAAAGCGCTTAACTATTTTGCACATCAAATTGCACATCAAATTGCACATTCTACCTTCCCTGGGGAGCATTTCAGCTAGTTAGAGGTCTCAATGTTGATTATTCTATTTTCATTTGTGTGAATAAATTCTTATCTTGTTTTTTTCATTCTTTGTTGTTGTGTATTTTTTTTTTCTTCAGTCATCCACTACATTGACTATTGTAGTAACGGATATCGGAGACTTGGCACCGACCTTCCCTGGAAGCTCTCTGTTTACTGGCAACGTCTTTGAGAATGCTCCAGTAGGACAGCCTATTACCATGGTAATGCAATACTTTTAGTCATCTGTTGAAGTTTTTAAGATCTGTTTGGCCGGAATTAACAAATGAGGTCTTTAATCTATTAACCGCATTTTGATGGAAATGAATACATCCATCTACATCATTAGGTTTTAAACACATGTATTGTCTACTATATCCATGCTCTTTCTCTGAGCTGTTATATGACCTCATATATACATTTATCAGGACTATAGTCATGATAGAGTGTATAAAAGTACATTGTTTTTATCACGAAGATGCATTAGCTGTTCAAAAGATCTTTATGAGTATGAAATTGTATTACAACTTTATATTTGTACATGTATCACACTAACTCAACATGAGTACAACTGTTTATTTCTTCATGTCAATCTTGAATGGATTAAACTGACATACATGCTAGTTTCATTTACTATTTTCTCTCTCTCTTTCAATCAGATTCCTCCCATCCGAGCTATTAATAGCGATGCTACTGGCCAGCTGGTTTACACCATTACGGGTCCCGACTCGCAAACATTCATGATCAATCAACTCTCAGGTAATTACAATGCCAAAAAAAATATTGTGAGCATTCTCCTTGATTCCAATAGAAGACTCAAAGATATTGGTATAGACTGTGTGTACATGTATGTAGAACGCTCCCCAGGGAGTGGAAAATGTGCACTGTAATGCGCAGAATAGTAATCAAATCCAGTGACTGGGATACTAATAATACTGTAAGAGCTGTATAAGAAACAGGTATTGTTGTTAGGCCTAAAAAAAAAGATGTTATATTGCCCTTTAGGTGCCAAAACATGGGTCGGTCGGTCAGTCGGAAATATTTTTTCGAAATAATTTTTTCTTCTTTTTGGGGCTGATATTTCTCAGTTTTTAATGCTTTAATATTTTTTTTTCTCCCCAAAAAACGGTAAAAAAAAAAAAAAGTAATAAAAAGCCGACCGTAGATTTCAAGATTTTGGGGTCGGTCGCAAAGGGCAATACAACATCTTTTTTTTTTTAGGCCTTATTACGTAGAATGGTACATTATTCAATCCTGTCAGAAGCAGCATAGACAGTGCTAGTGTGTACTCACCCATTTTTTTATGAAATATCAATTTACTTTTGGTTAGATCTTTTAGATGAAAGTAATCTTTCTTTGTATGAAATGAAAACCATAATTTTTTTCTTCTTAAGAATGTGAAATAGTTATTATTTGTGTTTATCCTGTCATTTCAAGAAATTTCCAATTTTTAGGACACTTGAAGTCCATACATGTACATGACTTAAGACATAGAAATAATGATTTGTTCACAAGTAATATTTTGTGGAGATAATATCTTGCCATTGTACATTGTACATTCAGCCTCAGGCTGTGATGCAATTATGTTTTAATAGTAAAACGTTATTACATGTAAGTAAGCATACTCATTTAAAAACAAGGATTTTACAGGAATGCAAAACTTTGCTTGTGTTTTGTCTAGCCGGAATTCAAGTGAATGGACCTCTAGACAGGGAGACCAAAGATTTCTACGAATTTGGGGTGATCGTCACTGATTCCATGGGTCTGACTGCAATGGGCACTGTTCATATCAACGTCCTGGATGTGAATGACTTTGCGCCGGCATTCAACGATTCCGTCTACAACTTCACCATCCCAGAGAATTCACCTGGAGGTAAAATAAGGGATCATTTAAATAAATGAAATCGTTGGTGTAGATGAGAGAGAGGTAACAAGAAGAGAGTGGAGGTGAAATGATTTGGTGCGAATTGAAGTAAAAGTGACAGGGATAAATGTTGTGTGATTATACATATACATGTATCATACTTTTTCAAAGGCATAGGTCAGAATGATGACTTTCATATTTCTTTGATCCCAGGCTATTATGTTGGAGGTGTGAGCGCATATGACCTTGACGGTGACAATGTCAACTTCTTCATACAGACGGGAGGAGAGGATAAGTTTGATATCGGAGGCACATCAGGAACGATAACGGTAAGTAAAGAGAATAAATAAGATACAGCTGTTCAGAATACATTTTCAAATCATTTATATCATGTTACATTTCTGCTATGTGAGATTCCTTCTGTTATTTTCTTAACTTTGACATTTGTAATCAAAATATTTTCAGTGTATGGGAATTGTATATATGTTCTTACCCGCTATTACAGTCAAACCTGCTTTAGTGACCACCTGTCTACAAAGAACACATTTTTTTTTGTTTCCCTTGAAAATGGTTTCTCATTGAAACATGTACTAAAGGAACCTATTAACAAGACCACTTTTTGTGTTTCTCTTTGGTGGTCGCTATAGACAAGTTTGACTGTACTATTATTGTTGTTGTTGTTGTTATCATTTATCTGTTTGTTTTAATCCATCAGGTCACACCTGGAGCAGTATTAGACCGAGAAGAGAAACCCTTCTACACCCTAACCGTCATGGTCTCTGACCTACGCAACCCGCCCCTCAGCGGTACCGCCACCGTCTACATCTACCTCATTGACATCAACGACAGTCCTCCCAAGTTCGACGCCTCCTTCCTGGATCAAATCATCTCCATCCCCGAAGACACGCCCGGTAACACAATCGTCACAACGGTAACCGCGACCGACGATGACCTCAACTCCAATATAAATTACCAGATCGTCTCGGTGTCCGTCTACGATGAGGATGACGTTGATATCACATCGTTTTTCGATTATAGGACGGTCTTCAGCCTCAATCCCACAAATGGGAATATTACGTTGACCTCACCTGTTGACAGAGAGGTCACTGAGAAGTTTGTGTTTTCAATTTCAGCGAGGGATTTGAATTCTCAGAATCCTATCTTCGGCACGAGCCAAGAAAATGGTAAGTGGGTTGGCTTAATGTATCACAATCTTAAATATTTTGTTACCAAACATCCTCTCAGGCATCATTTTACAAAACTGTCTTAAGTTTGCATTGGAATGTGTATTATTGTTAACCCACCGGGACCTGAATGTCTCATTCTTATTGGCTCCATACAGTCAAACCTGCTTTAGTGACCACCTGTCTACAAAGACCACATTTTTGTTTCCCTTGGGCAGCTGCTATAGACAGGTTTGATTGTACATGAACCACTTGGTTCCTGTAGGCACAGTGTTAATATAATACACACATTTCAATGGGATGTTGATGAACTTGTTCTTACATGTAGCAAGGAGAGATTGTTTGTTTGGCGTAGAAAGAGTTAACTCTGTTCCTGTAACGATTTACTGCAGTGAAAGAGAGGTACACTTTGTAAAAATGTAATAACAGATAAGTTTGATTCAATTAAATAATGTTTTAGATGTATTAGCATATGATAACAATTTATTACTTCTGAACATCTTTTTTTTGTAGCCCAAGTCACCATTCTAATCACCGACATCAACGACAACCACCCTGCCTTCCAGCCTCCCGGCACCACCTTCATCCTCCGCCAGCTCCCAGAATCCTTTGGAGCAGGAAGTCCAATCCCTGGCAATCTGCTAGCCTTGGATCCAGACCTTGGTCTGAACGGCGAGGTGATGTACATTATTCAGAATCCATCGGGTGTGCCCGTCACCATCGACCAGAATACAGGTAAGCATCTTAGGATCACCATGATCCTAACCTAAAATGTAGTCTAAAATTTAATTCTAAAGTAAGCCCTAACCAGTAACCTTCGATTAAATTAGGTTCAAAAAAATGTTTGTGTCACTCTTGCATTGCCATGGCTTATAGTGCTCGTATTACAGCTGTTTACTCGATGAAATCTAGCCATTGTCCACAATTGTTTGTTTTAGACTGGCTTCTCCCGTAGTTCAACCTTTATTCATCTTGTAATCTAATTGAACTTTATTGTATTTTCAAGGCAGTGACTTACCCAAGACTGTAATTTCCTCAATTTTGTTAATGCAACTTTGTTCTGTTTTGACCTTGTTCAACAGGTCAGCTGACCCTCCTGGTGACCGTTGACCGAGAGCAGCAACCCTGGGTCAACCTGACCGTCCTGGCCGTTGACAAGGGCACGCCGTCCCTCAACACCAGCATCCCCGTGTACCTCGAAATCATCGACAACAATGACAACAACCCCGTCTTCGGAGCACAGTCCCACACCACCACGATCATAGAGAGTGAGCCTATTGGTGCGTTTGTGTTCAATGTCAATGCGACGGATGCTGATAGCGGAGGCAGCGGTCGCGTGACCTACAGTCTGATTGGGGGTGATGGAAAGTTCACCATTAATCAAGATTCGGTAAGTTCTACAATCAGGTCGCCTAATATTTAATAAAAGTTGTTATAACAATTAAAAGTAACTGATTTTAAAGGCTGTCTGTACTAGTTTGGCTAGGAGGGATTAGACCACCCAGGAAGGTCAACTCAGGTCTCATCAACTCAGCTCTCGATTAACATAAGAAAAAGAGGATCATGGGGGACCAATGGTCACCAATTAGGCATTGTTTTATATATAGAGGGAGCAAGTAGCTACATGTAGTACAGTGGGCCTTTAAGCTACTAAAATCATAAGACTTGTTTACAGATGAGGTGGTAAATTTATTTATTTATCTTTTTGTTTCTTCTTTTCTTTCAATGACATGAATCACAATATGCTTCACATTTTTGTATCTCATAGCACATAGAAAGAGAGTTTACTTATGAGTATGGTACAACCGCAGATAAGGATACCCAGTCCCAGTGCATGCTGACGTTAGGGACTTTTAGATTTGCTTGGACTGATACGTGTGACGTCCATTCAAGGCAGTGCATTGAAAGGACGTCGATCGTAGCAATCCACGTTGTCGTTGTGCAAATCTAAAAGTCCCTAATTTTTGCTAGAGATAACCGTAACAACTACATTTTTTGTAAAATTGGTGTAGCCATTTTCCCTTTTTATTCCCCAATCAGGGAGTGATTGATCACTTTACTTTAGCAAGTTGAGCCAATCCCATTACATGTTGATAGTGTTTGCTAGAGATAACCCTAGAGATATTATAATGTTCTCACTTTCTTCCTGTTTTGTTTTCTTGTTTTCCAGGGAGTGATTACCCTACTGCAGCAAGTGGACAAGGAGACCCAGTCCCAGCACATGTTGACAGTGTTTGCAAGGGACAACCCTGGGGACTCTGAAGACAGTAGAACAGGCTCAACTACAGTAAGTATTTTTTAAATAAAAAGCAAACAGAAATAAAAGAGATCAGTTATAAACTCGTGTTTATGAAAATTTGCCAAGCAGATCTGAAGGTTGTGCTATTGTCAAACTAAATTTAGAAAAAACTAATTTTTAAAGATTTCCTTTTTTTCTTTTTGGATGACTGGTATAAGAATGCTTGCTGTCTTTAGAAGATGTGAACATGTAGTGCATGAAATTAGATCTCTTTAAATCTCTTTTTTTTTTGGAGAAGTGTTCCTTATGCCAGGAATCATATCACGCCAAACAACAAAAACAATATATAATACAATAAGACAGTAGAACAGGCTCAACTACAGTAAGTTATCTTTGAAAAGAGAAAGCAAAAATGAAAAAAGAGAAAAGATATATGCATGCATCTGGGAAGCTTTGCTAAACAGATTTCAAGGTTGCAATATTGTCAAAATAATTTTTTTTTAAAGTTGTAAGCGTTCTTGAGATGGCTGGTAAAAGTTATCTTCAGAAGATGTAAAGATAGTGGATAAAAATATTTGTTTCTTCTGTTTATGCTCGCAGAGCAGTTTCTGGAAACTGTTTGTTATATCATAAAGCACATCAAATGCAAACAAGTATTACAAAAGAAAGCAAAATGTAACATGAAAATGTCCTTTCTGTTCTACAGGTAATTGTCAATGTGTTGGATGCTAATGAGTTTCCACCGGTAGTAACGCAGCCCATCTTCACCATCGATGAGGGTGGGATCGGGGGTGAAGTGGTAGGGGTCATTGAGGCCTATGACCCTGATGACCCTGACGACCCTAACCAGTCACTGTACTATGTGGTTGTCAGCTCACAACCAGAAGGTCAGTATGAATTGTTATGTTTTTTTTTTAATGATTTCATGATGTTCAGGGATAATGTATTTTGAAATGACCACTTTAACTGATGTTAATCAGCATCATAGATTTATACGCCTCTGCCTTCAAAGGTGGTGCCCAAGGCATAATGTTGTTGGGTCAGTCTGTCCGTCCTTTTGGTGAAATGTGCGGAATTTCGTACTTAGTTTCCGTACATTATATTTGATCTGAATTCTCTAATTTGTTTTAATAAAAAAAAATTCTTGTGTGAAATCTATTCTTATAATAATATACACCTGTATAAAAAAAAAAGAATATAAAATGTTTTTTTATGTAAAATGTGGAATAAATAAAACTTCAAACTTCAGAGAGAAATTTAAGGAGGGCAGTCAAATAGCTCTTGTACTTTTCACCTTGTAGCTTTTAATACTGAATGTACGAGGTGTGACTTTAACGTGTACTTACATATTCATGTTGAAGTGCAAATATATTTATATTTAGGGTATTGCTCAACAATTTACCTACAAAGAATTACTGTAAAGCTATTAATGGAACATACACTGTATGTCTCCTTAAAATGGTGCATATACATGAACATAAATGTGCCTACATGTTTAATTATACAGGGGATACATAACTACATGAACATGCTGTTTGCATTTAGCATTAGTGGAAGGGCTAGTGAATTAACAAAGATTAAGAGAAGCAAAATATAATGCTAGCTTCAAAATATTATTGAATATTCCATGTACATGTAATTTGAAAGCAAACAAGAACCATGTGTGTTCATGACTTTATTTTTACATCAAATTATTAAACTTTCTTCTCTTTGTTGGTATACAGTTGGCGGTACATTGTTTATTATCAACAATGCGACTGGGGAGATTATCACTACTGGACCTCTTGATAGAGATAATAATCTACACCCAGCCAGGGTTGATCTAGATGTGATCGTAAGTATTGTAAACTTTCTCATGATGCTCATCGAATACCTGTGGGTATTGTCATGTCGTTTTTTGCAGGCGAAGGATTAAGCAGTGAGGTTGAATATTGTGTAAAGGAAGTTCTCATAGTAGTATCTCCTACAATACTTTGTCTCTCTGATAGCAAGCGTGTAGGCCTACTGATGCAATGAATAATACTTTGTATGTTTCGTTTTGTTTATATGCTTCTTCCTTTTACTTTCTATGTTCATTATATTATTGTTAACATCTCGTTCTAGTTGTAAACAGTTGGCTTCAGCCTGTGCTGATGGTCAGTTTTATACACCAATAAATAAATAAATAAATAAATAAGTACCTAAGTAAGTAAGTAAGAAAGCAGATGAATAAATAGATTTGATTAGCTTGTCTCATACACCAAACTAACACAGTCCAATCCGACCACATTTCCTCCAGGTTTACGATGACGGCAATCCAAACCTCGGTACACCAACCACCGCCATCATCTATATCAATGACCTCAACGACAACCAGCCCACCTTTGACCTTCCCTTGTACGACGTGACGGTCGTAGAGGGTCAATATAGTGACCCCATCATCACTGTGGTGGCTAATGATCCTGATCAGAACAGTAATCTCAGATATGAGATCCTTGGAGGGAACCTCAACAATACATTCGTTCTAGTCGGTAAGTGTGTCCCAAAGATTTGTTAAAGATAAAGTTGAGTTCTGGTAATGCGATTGCAATGTGAAAGAAAGGTTGATCATTTAGCATATAAGTATTGGTGTGTACTGCAAGGTTCTGGAATCATCAAAATGATAAGATATTTGGCCCAGTCTTGGTAAATTTATAAGCAGTGTACACAGAAATATGTATATGGGACTACATGAACATGTGGCATAAAAATCTGTCCCAATTTTTTATGATGTTACATGCCATATTTAGAATGTAAAGGCATTTGAAGAGCCATGCTTTTCAGGGAACATTTTTCAACTGATGCTCTTCCACACCACGTCCCGGAACTCAACCTTCTCTTTAAGATTTGGATATAATACTAATAATATTCCGTTCTTGTATAGTGCATATCACATTATAATGCCCATATGCGCTTCCAAAGAGCTTTGGAAATTATTAACCTAGCCTTATACATTATGGTACTTTGTTAAGGCTCGCGGGAGGATAGAGTTAGCCCAATGACAATTACACCTGCAATTTAAAGTCGGGGTGTTCTCAACTGGGCAATCAGATTTGAAATTTTAAAAAAGATTGCGATCTAGATTGTGTAGAAGTTATAAGTTATATTTGTCCTTTGGAATGAAATTCTTAAAGAAAGATTGTTTATTCTTCAGTAATGTTTGAAAGGTCCTGTATTTGTGCTTTAATGCCTTTAAAAGAGGAAAAAGAGTCCCAGATGTACACTTAGTGATGAAGCACAGATTCTTTAAAAATATATTTGTGGAAATGGAAATATTTTAAATACATGTAAGCTAGCTTCAAGTACATGTATGAAGCAAGTATTCTATTTTTGCAATCATTTACCCCATATGTATCAAAGGAGAGCAGCATATCATGAACAAATGAAAACAAGACACTTTATAACTTACCGGTATACACATCGAATTTTCATATTTGTTTAACAAGTCTGTGAACATGATGCAACAGTGGCATAGACTTTAAGAAATTTTCAGTACACTATCATTCAGTATATCTCATATAAATCATGTTTGCTTTACGTACATGTAATACTTCATTCAAATGTTCGCGCTTTACAATCAGCTATCGAAATTGCTCGACTGGTTTGTGGAGTTGTCAAAAGTATTATGATCGCATTCAGTGATGCCCTTACCCTTTGATATTCCTACAGATGGAGGCTTGATCCCGGTCAAACCACTGGACTTTGAGACGTTCACGAACTACAATCTGACCGTTGTGGTGACCGACGACAGCGGGAATAGAGATACGACCTACGTCGCCGTCACCGTAACCGACGCCAACGATCACAACCCCACGTTTGTTCCAGATCAATACAGTCTTACTGTCACTGAGAATGAACCTCCAGGTAACATATGACCTTTTACTACTAGAGGCCATGCTCATTAAAAATTCATTTTTACAATGATTTGACAACGTTGGGCTTGATTGCTATCTTCTGTGAATATAAGTTAAAAGGGAGACTAACTGGAAGCCTGCCATCCATTCTCTGGTTTTTCTCCCTGTATGTTCATACTACATATTGATAACATTGATTAAACACTTCCAAAACAAGACTTTGTTTGATTAATTTTTCAGGTTTATGTAGATTCTTCCAAATAATCAAAGTCTTGTAGAGTTGGTCATATGAATTATTGTACATTTCAGTAGATTCCTATCTTGAATAAATTCTGTGTCTGGTAGTTCTTTTGAATGTATACATGCGAGTGTTGAAATGTGTATGTACATGTACCTGTAGAGAGGCACTAACTGCCAAACCTTTTGAAGAAAGATGTAAGGAAGTGATCACTTTGGTAGTTTTGGGGCTACGATTGAAACCAACCGCATGCAAGGATGTAATTCAAAATTGATGCCAGTATTAAACAAAGTCCATGTATCAGCAAAATACAAATATTCAATTTTGATTCCTTTTGATGCAGGCACACAGGTCGGAGCAGTAATTACCATTGACGGCGACACCCTTCCAGAGTACACCGACATCATCTACACCATCCTAACAGGCAACGGCCTCGGAAACTTCACCATCAACTCCACGACGGGCATCATCACCACGGCAACGATCCTGGACAGGGAGAAGACCAGCGAGTATGTTCTGACTATAGGAGCGGAGAATCCGGTCGGAGGAACAACGGGAACAGCAACGGTGAGCATTTTTAGTGTTGTATTGTAATTTCAAGAAGGTGGTATTTGAGGTTTTTAGTGAAAGGAAAAAGTGTAGAATGTGTGACGGTTATCAAGCAAAAGAGAGGATGGGTTATTCTACACTTTTTGCAAAAGGGAGAGAAAAGTGAAAGAGGAGGAGGAATCGATTGAGACTGACCCCGTAACAGGAAATAGTCAAGATCTCCTAAAGGTCTTTTATCTTGGTCCCCACTCATTTACATTCCTTGTTTTTACACTTTAGTTGTTACAGTAAGTCTTGATGTACTATTACGTTTTTTTTTCTTCACATTGACATGTATGTGTGTATTTATCATGTTCAATTATGCATTTTCATGTATTTTCATTGATATATATATATATATGGCTGAGTAAATTAAATGAATCTTGAAGTGTACATGTTTATTAATTTCAGCAATGAAAAGATTTCTCCCCAATTGTACACTTAACATGTTTCACGTCATTTCAATAGCATCGATTCGACAACTAAATATCTCCTTGATCTTTGTGCAGGTTTCCATCATTGTGAGAGACGTCAACGACAATACTCCCACCTTTGAAGAGAATCCTTACATCTCCACCGTCACTACCAACACTCTCCTGGTAGACGTGCATGCTAACGATCCAGATGAAGGGGGCAACGGCATCGTCATCTATGAGATAGTATCCGGCAACGAAGATAGTAAGCTACATTCTTATTATTTCAATAGTCAGGATGAATTATATATTGTTTTGAATGGTGCATTTATAGAAATGTCCTTACATTTGCACTTTAAATTTAGTTTAAAACACAACAGGCATCGTTGCTACATAATGGACCAAGTGAGCTAAAAAAATCTACAAAATTGTACTCCACATATATATTCATTGGCTCTGTACCTAATGATTTAATAATCATTAATTTTGGCCGTATTGAACATAATATAAATGATTAGTTAATTCTCATGATGTTAGTTTAAGCAGCTCAACAACAGTATTATATTATGTTACTCTTGTCTTAATACTCTCCTATCTAGTTATTTACTCTGCTCTACCCATCTCCTCTTCTCACCTTCAGACTTTTTTCTCTCTCTTGCCCTCTCTACATCCGTCTTTACCTCATCTTTGTATAAAATTTATTATCATGCATCTTACCCACTTATAATTGTTAAAGCAATATTGTAACCACTTATAATAATTTCTATGCGTCAATTCAATAAATGATATAAAATACATATCAGTGGAAAACAAATTTCTAATTGGACTTTAAATTCTCATTTACCGTTTCAATTTCAATTACCAACTCTTCCCCACCATAGATCGCTTCCAAATCGACAACCGGACTGGGGTCATCACCCTTGTCAACCCACTGGATAGTCAACTGATAAGGAATTACACTCTGGTGGTCATAGGTCACGACCTTGGAAACCCTCGTCTCCAGAGCAACACAACCGTCGACCTCCGGATCAACTACCTGGGTCTCAACGCCCCTCCGTCTTTCGTCCGACCGAACCAGGGCTCTACCGTCTTTATTACTGAGGTATGAATTAGTGCTTTTGTCAAATTCAATTTTTTTTTTCTTTGTCGACATGGTGGTTAAACAAGGCGTGATTGGTAAATTTCATGTACAAGAACAAGTTACTGCCATGGAAAGGAACCTATCACAGCAACAAACATCAATTGAATAAGGCATAACAGTATAATCAAGTAAAACTGAAATAGCTCAAAAGAAGTATTACAAAAATAATAATCATCACATGTACAATCAGGAATTCAGACAAATTTTAATTTTATTCCTTTGGATGAATTTACCAATCAATAATATCATGAATATATTTCCAATATCAGAATCTTGTCTGTATCACGTGGAATATCCCTGATGATTTTTGATTGATTTTAAGATGGATGATAAATAAACAACATTGTTCTAGAATGAGTGACTAATGTACAAATCACTCATGTTTGTTATACATGGAAACCACAAATTTTCAAACTATTTCTATTTTCTGCAGAACAATCCCCTTGGTCAATTGATCATCAATGCTTTTGCCGTGGATGACGATGTCGGAGCTAACGGAGTGGTCGATTACAGCATTCTTCCCAACTTTGACTACAGTGATTTTACCATCGACCCGGTGACTGGAGATATCACTATACTGGTGTCAGCTGACAGAGAGATAAAGGATTCTTATACAGTAAGTTTGCCCCCAAAAAAATCAAAGTTGTTGTCAGTTACTTAGCTTGCATGAATTTGGTAGTTTAATTGTTAGAATGATTTTGTTCGTTGAGTGATTATTGATTGGTTGATTAACTGGTTAGTTACATGTAAGTGATAGATGATTATTTAATTTATTAAATGATTGATGAATTGATAGGTGGTTGGTTTTGGTTAGTTGGTTGCTTAGTTAGTTGGTCATTTTAGGTCATTGATTAATGATATTTTTGTTAGAATGAAGAATTGACATATGGGGCCTGTCACCACGAAATGAGTCCAGTTGGTCAAAAATTTTATTCCTGTTTTTAAGTATTATATGAATCTACATTAAGTAAGCTTTAAATTAAGGGGTCACACATTAAAATTGATAAATTATATCCAGAAATATGAACAAAAACCTAATTGGACTTTATAACAATGGGATTACCCAGTTTTTAGATAATTAGGTGTAAAGTTAATGATGCGTAACATATTATAGTCTGGTCAACAACAACATAGCAACAACACACTTCCCATCATTCGATTTCAATGAAACTTTCAACAAACAAAGAAATAATAAGTCGATTTTTGGAAAATTCTTAAATGTGGTAGGTGGGTCAATTTTCAGTACATACACACTATACATCGCTATTACTACGATTGAGCCTAATGCGACACTGGACTCATGTCGTGGTGACTGGCCCCATATTATTGCTCATCAATCAGCGCTCGTTATATTCGCACCTTGTTCCTTTTAGTTTCTGTTTATATTGATCGATTTTGGCTTTCTGTTTCATTCTTGCGTTTTACTCTGATGAGTGCAAGTCGAAAGCTTTAGTGTGGCTCTTTTCAACGCTATGCTCATAGTTTCTAGACAAGTCTTTCCTAAATCTTGTCTTCTTCAAAATGAAGAACTACAATATAATAATTGCCTCTGCAATTTTTCCCCCCTTTCATCTACAGTTGACAGTAGTAGCTACTGACAGAGGAGATCCAAACCTGTCAACCAGTTCCACATTTGTCATCAGGGTACTTGATGAAAACGATAACAATCCTGCCTTCCCCAGACCAGATGTGAGTATTCGTTAGAGTTCCAAGCCCTCCAGGAAACCTGAGAAAACGTGGAAAATGAGTTTCCTATTTTTTTCACCAGTTGAAATTCAGGAAAAATTAAGATAAATCTGGGAAAATTCAGGGAATTTCATTTATCCAGAGAGAAAGTAGTCATTCTATTGTATCTACTTGGAGAAAAACATTTCAAAACGTATTATAAGACGCCTCGTCCTGCAGCTAGTTTGAAATAATGGTCCCGGATTTTTCAATGCTATCTCGCAAAAAAACAGCAAACTTTGTTTTGTTTGTGTAGCTGATATGTAGCCTATGTCTGATGTAAAATCGTCATATCACAACAATTGAAGCATTTTTTATCCTTGATATATTAAAAACTTTACACTGTTCTAAATTTTCACCTTGTTTCAGGGTATGAACAATCCTATCGTGCTGAATCTGAATGTGTTTGAGAATGCCAACATCAGCGATCTGGTCGGAACCGTTGATGGTGCTATCGATCTAGACCTGGGGGCAAATGGACAAATCTTCTACCACATTGTCGGTAAGTAAAATATGATTGTACAATAAAACATGTCTATTAATTATTAAGGCCATACAAGAAAAACAGAAATAACTGGCCTTGGTGGACAGCTAGCCTTTTTATAACACATATTTCTTCATACAGGGAGGTAGCTGTACACGTACACTGTATGTATAGACGTGACTCAGTCTAGCTGAAAATTACAAGTAATCGGTTGGTTGTTATTTTTTTACCTGACTGCTAAGAAAGCATAAATGCTTGTAAGTAAGCAACCAGGCGGCCGACGGCTTTAGGTCCTCTCAGAGGGACCTGGTAATGAGGATTAATGCCTTATCAAAGGGCACTAGCGCATCGACTTGGTTTCGAACCCAGGTCACCGGATTACGAGACCACTGCTCTACCGACTGAGCTATAATGCACACATGGGACTACACATGTATGGCATGTGAAATATCATTCCATATTTCTCAGCTTTTTTTGTATGATATCCCTTACCGAACTGAAGGCCTTCGCTAAGCAGTCGCATAAGCAGTCACAAGCAGTCGATATAAGCAGTCGCAAGCCTTCATTTGCAACATGCATGTCAATGTATTGCTGCAAGCCTTCGAAGGCTTGTAAGCAGTCGATAGGCCTTCCCACAGCCAAGTTAATATGCAAATTAGCTTCGACTGCTTATAATGAAGCTCTAAATAAGCAGTCGACTGCTTATAATGAAGCTCTAAATAAGCAGTCTACTGCTTATAATGAAGCTCTATATAAGCAGTCGTGTTTAAACCTTCCTAAGCCTTCGAAGGCTTATAAGCAGTCCGTAGGCCTTCCCACAGCCAAGTTAATATGCAAATTAGCTAAGCCTTCATCATTGACTGCTTATACCTTCGTCGTTGAATCACCTAAACCTTCGTTGTCGACTGCTTATCCCCTAAACCTTCGAGCGTTGTCCACTGGGTACAAACCTTCGACTGCCTATATTACCTAAACCTTCCGTCATCAACTGCAGCTGCGCTAATTTGCTCAAATATATTTGTGAACAAGTATTTACAAAATCAATGGCCATGCAATTTCCTAATCTGTACAGAAAGCAAACTCAATTTCGTATTGTGTAATTGTATTACTCACCTTCTGGACAAAATGAAGATGTTTAAAGTAGCGCAGCTAGCAGTCCAGTGCAAAGCAAAGTTGGTCGTATTTCTCTAACACAAGAGTGCTTGTGTGGGACTGTAATCTTGGTAACAAAATTCGATCCTTTCTCATTTTGTTAAATTCTTGCTCTAGAATACTCTCAAAATTCTTCTTTCCTGGTGTAAATAATCTACCCCTTATTCCCTATACTGTGGGTTTTACAGGAAGACAAATCTGGCGAAATTGCAAAGTAATGATTGAAATATGCGCCGTTCAGCTCAGCTCAGAGTCTCAGTGAAGATTTGAATTTGAAAATTACCGGTTGGCCTATTCGCCTTCTACCACTAGATGGCAGCACACATTTGGAAACTGAAGGCCTTCGCGGTCTTCTTTAAAAGTGACTGCTTATCTTTGAAGGCTTATTTTCAGCGACTGCTTATCTTGAAGGCTTATTTTCTACTGACTGCTTAATAAGCAGTCAACATTTTTGGACTGCTTATATGAAAGTCTTTGAAGGCTTAGCTCTCGCAAACTAATAAGCAGTCGAAGACTAAAACAAGCCTTCGAAGGCTTATGAAGTCTTTGAAGGCTTTGTGAAGGCTTAGCGAAGGCTTATCGAAGGCTTATTAAGCAGTTTTCTTTGGTAAGGGCGATACATCGAGTATGAGGACATTTTAATCTGTCAAGGTATCTTCTTCCATTTCGGAGGTTGAATGCAGCATTTTTCCACAAATCGTTGTGATTTAGCTGCCACCCAAGTACACCCTTGTACATGTAGTACCATTCCACTCCATGTCTTAATTTTCCCTCCCAGTTAGCTCTTGGTTTCTCTCTTGGTCTGACATCCAGAAAATACGAAAGCTCACAATCATCATCCATCATCATCAGAGCTCAACCCTCTCTCTCTCTCTCTTTAAACCATACAGATAGCACAGTCGGAGGTATCTTTGTGATCAACTCCACGACCGGAGTAGTCACCGTGAACGGCACCCTCGATCGAGAAGACATAGGCGTTCACACCATTTACATCCTTGCAACCAACGACGCTACCTACAATGGGACGGGACCCTATAACGTCTTGGACAATATCTCACTGAAAGAAGTCAAGATTACACTGTTGGACATCAACGACAATGCACCAAGATTCACCAGTACTGTCATATCTGCTTGTAAGTGCTTTCCTTTTTTTTTTCTTCTACTTCTCCTTCTCATTTATCTTTATTACTATCGTCATCATCGTCATTCTGGATTTTTCCTCTGACGAGGGGTTACTGAATTTTTTGCACCATGATGACACTTCCTCCCTCCATTTCTAGTCTTGAGCATCATCATCATTTAGACCAGCCTTGTTTTCTTTCTTCATCATATCTTTCCTTGAAGTCTTTGGTCTTCCTTTCCTTCTTATATGCCATCCACTTCCAGATCCCATGCCCTGTTCACAGGCTCATCATCTTCCCTTCTCAACACATGACCCATCCATCTCAACCCACTTCTCTTTACCACTTCCACCACAGTTCCTTCCAGATCCAACCTCTCCATGGGCCCCTTGTGTTCTTTCTATCGAACAGTTTCACACCACACATGATCCTTTCTGTTCTCCTCAAGATACCTTCTTCTACTGTCTTTACATTATAGGTTTCCATATACTACCGCTGTTCTAACGAAAGCCTCATAGATATTGCCTTTTGTAAAACCTAAACACCATGAACAACCTTGTATTCTTTCTTCATCATAGCTTTCCATGAAATCTTTGATCTTCCTTTCCTTCTTATATGCCATCCACCTCTAGATCCCGTGCTCTTTCACAGGTTCATCCTTATAGCCTTATAGATCTTGCCTTTTGAAAACCTTAAACAACAAAAACAACTTTTTCTCCTTTCCATTTTGTAATTATTATTATCATTATTGGTGGTGCTGTTCTCCATTTTCATTGTCATTATTATTACTCTTTAAGGCACTTCTACACTGCATTGATTTTAAGTTTGATTTATTCCGCTATTCAATTTAATATTGTGTTTACCTTGATAGGGGCCTCATGTACAAGCACAAGTTGCTTCTTAGAGGTCCTGGCCTATTATTTTTTCTGTATCTATGATTTGTAATGTTTTTTTATGTTGCCAAATAAAGTGAACTAAATTGAATTAATATATTGCTTGTTCATCAATCTTGGTCATTTGTTTTCAATTTCAACTCTAAGACTTACAATGTACAATATCCTAACTTGTTTCAATAGGCATTCCATTTGACATTAGCCTGGGAATGACAGTCGTGAGCGTGGCCGTGGTCGACCTCGATGGGGGTACCAATCTCGGGATCGCATACTCCCTCAACTCCATCCAATTCATCAACAGTGAAGGAGAGAGGCTGGCGGCCATCAACGCCTTCACAATCAACAGTGAGACCGGTCAGATCGTCACCAATCAGAGGTTCGGAGAAGCTTATTTGCAAGGGTACTTTGATATTGTTGTGCAGGCGACGGATGTCAACACCGGGCAGTTTGCCGTTGCGTCCATCAGGGTAAGACAGATTATTACCAAGATCGTATGATTACAAAATTATTAATTTCAATAAATAAGTGGTGCTTATTAAGCCAGAAAATCTTATTCTATAATATTGTAATAATGAATAAAATATGTATGTACATGTGTATCTGTACATCTTACATACAATGTTCATTACAAAGGTGAACAATACATGTAAGTTGATTAAGCCAGATGATTGTTTTAAATGTATGGTTTTCTTTCATATTTGTTTAAAATGTATTTTTATTCATATTTTGTAGCTCTGTATCTTGAACAACAATCAGCGAGTAGTGGTGGTCATCGATGCAGGAATTGATGTCGTTAGAGACAACAGAGAGATCCTAATAGAGTAAGTCTCTTCATATTTTTCTTCCTTCCAGTCCTTTTTTGCAAAAAATTAATATTGCTTTGAAAGATATCTATTTGTGGTTGACTGCAGAAATCTATGTAGTACATCTACATGTAGCTATATAGTATATTGTGGTCAAATATTGTGTAAAGTTTTGGGGGTTGATCTTTTTTGAGAGAGAGAGAGGGAGAGAGTATGGATTGTTAAATATTTATACAGTAGAACCTCGTTATAACGAGGTCCTTGGAGCATGGAATTTACCTTGTAATATAGAAATCTTGTTATATCAGGGTAAAAAGACAAAAGAATATAAAGAGCTGGGACTAGCAAAATCACCTTTTTATAACAGATACAAATTATTTCAGAGCTTGATATAATGAGGTTCCACCGTATTAGCTCAACTTTTGTTCTTGACATGTTTTCTTATCATTTTTAAAGCAGTCCTTAGCTATGTGTTGTAAAGAAAATTGTGAAGCACTTTCTAACCACAAGGAAAATATGCTAACCCAAATACTCTGTTGATAGGACGGATTGGATAACGATATGCCCTTTTGATGCATTTCATTTGTAGGATCCTTCAGAATATCACCGGTGGTATTGTGTTTATCGATGACATCACAACCCATCGTGACGAGGATGGTGTCATTGTGCCCGATAGCACTCAAGTCCTGATACATGTCGTTGATCCCAACACGGGAGAGGTACTGGATGCAAATCTTGTCACAGCGTAAGTAATGATCGGGGGAGGAGGGAGGGGGGGGGGATGGTGGTGTTCTGAAAATGATGTTATCTTTTATTTTAGTAACACAATCCTAATTATCAACAAATCAAAATTAGAACAAGTCATTGATTTATGTCTGCGCAAAGCTGGCTGCCTTTGCGTCAAGTTGAAAGAAAGCACCAATGTAAAGTGTTATTTCCAGGCAATTTCAGTTTGTTATGACAGTTAAAATTTTCCCCCTTAATATAACAGATAGCATCATTTACAGAATACGGCCCCAATTTTCAGTTTAACAAATTTCTCTTTCTCTCCTTGCTGTCCTTTACCCCCCCCCCCCCCACTCTCTCTGTCTCTCTCTCTTACACCCTCTCTCTCTCTCGTACACCCTCTCTTTCCCTGTCTCTCTCTACATATATAGTGCAAAAGGATTTGAGACAAAAATGGTACCAAAGTTCCCCATTGCTGTCCTCCACTAACATGTAAGGTTGAAAAAACGTCTCCGCTGGGAATTGAACTTTGACTGCTATAGGCCCCCGAAGAGGATACGTACACATACATGTATATTTAAATGTTCATTTATCTCTTTCATATTCTCTTGGTCTTTATCAATCCAGCTATCTGTTCAATATTCCTTCTCTTTTATGTCTATTTTGCTCTTCCCCCCCCCCCCTTCTTATCTACATCTCTTTTTCTGTCTCAATTTTTGTGTAAGGTACCTAACCTTTCTTGTGCTGGAACTATTTCATTTATATTACTTTATCTTCTTGATGCAGGCTTATTGATGAGAATGCCATGAGCATAGAAGTTCTCTTCGATGACCTGGACGTCATTGCAGTCTATGTAAGTATCTCACTCCTGAACTCCACCACTTCATTCTGGAAATTTGAACTTGAAAATAAATCTCTCCAATTAGTCATTCCGCATGATGGTTCCTCAATCGTTGATAGTTGTGTGTTATTTTAAATAATGGTTCGTGTATATCATTATCAAGTGTGTACCTGAAAGAAACATCCAAATGCACATGTAATATGCACATTTCACCCAAACATATGCTGTAGCAATGAGTAATGCATAAGATTACAACCATTACCCTTTGATATACCAATATTACAATAGTTCTAAATGAGAATGTTCTTGCTACAATATTATGTGAATGTTACAGTGTTATTTACCAAGTACCACAATTTGAGGTTTGGAGGAAATGCATCTTCATTTTTAAAAGTAGCTTTTTAAATTCATCATAAAATTAGAATGTGATTCATTTATAATGTATAGTTTACACAATATGAAAATGCAAGAATATCTCTTATTTCTTTTGTCTAATTATTGTCATTTCTGCAGCCTCTGTTTGGAGGAGGGGGTCTTGGCGGTCTTGGGGTGTTGGAAGCGGCCCTCCTGGCGTTTGGTATCCTACTCTTCCTGGGGGCTCTCATCTTTGCTATCATCCTCTGCTGTCTGAGACGAAGGTTAGAGTTCGTCTTGAATTGATATTTCAGTTTCAATTTATTTTGTTTCATATTTCACATTTTACAATGTTTCCACAAAGTAAATGGTACAAACAACAATGAATTCTATTGTTAGATACCAGAACTAGAACAATATAATTTTGTTTGCATGCAGTATTAATTAAGGAGACTGACCAAGAAGAGTGAAGAAGGTGAAAGGTATACTTGTGGGTTATAGGCCCTAAAAGGTGATTTATTTAGTCTATACAAATAGTGGGAATGAGCGATGTCTTGCGCAGCTTAATTGTGTATATAGGTACAGTTTAATTCTTTCAGAGTTGGTGCTGTTCAGTATTTTCTGCAGGAGAAAACCCACACCAATTTGATATTTTTCCCATAGTGTTAGGACGAAGAATAAGTTATCTTTCTTTCTGAATATTTACTTTCTTAGGACCAATAATGGGTTAGTGGTATTTTAATCCATTTAACATTATATTTTATGATAGAGGAATTGACTTTGAAATCCAAGCAAGCATTTTAAATTGTACTAATTGATTCCATAGAATACTGTTGGTATCATGATACAATCTATAACAATGAAAAGGAACTGATTAGTGACTTGCCTTATGGAATCTTATTTGTGGTATACAATTTAAGGGGCTCTTATCAAGTACTCATGACAAACTGACTTTGATGAGCCCAAGCTTGAAAACGAGTCATGTCATTCAGATTGTAAAAGAAAGTACATGTATTATATCCCATCTGAAAAAAAAATTAATGATATTCACTCTCACACAATGACCTTTGAACTATGTCTTTCTGTGTTTCAGATTGCTGCGTAAGATGCAAGGAGGAGGTGTGACCTTAGGTAAAGCACATGCAGATCTCCTCAAGGAGAATCGTAGCACCAGCTACCAAGGGTAAGTACATGAAAATATTAATGATATTTCAAGTTTCAAGTTTTATTTCTTCCACATTTTACCCAAAAATATAAACATACATATAAAATCAAAACTTATACAATACATGTAGTATATATGAGCACGTGTTAATGTTTCTCAATTTATATAATAGATTAAGTAGAATGTGATTTGTTTATAGAGCGTTATAAACAAAATGTTCCATATTCAGATAATCACAAAATCAGATAATATGAAGAGAAAAATTTAGACTGATAAGATATAAAACTCTTATTATAAATTATTTAAAGCCAGGGTGATGATATGATCTCAGGGCCCTTAGAGAGGGCAGTATGATTTATACTGATGAGGCTACCCTAGGTAAACAAGACATATTATTATTAGTATTATTATTATTTTAATAAGGGAAGAAGTATGTTTCGAGGGATCTTTTGAATGTGGCAAGAACTGTTGTTTCTCTGATGCATAGGCGTAGTAGGCTGCTGTCCTATATTTTGTTGTTTTTAATAGATTTGTTAGATTTGTCAGTTGGTGAGTAAAAACTATTAATTTCGAAGGGGTTATATTATCAAACTCACTTGGTTTTAAATTGTTTGATTGCAGCTCCAACCCTCTGTGGCTTGATGCGGACACCAGCCAACCAGATGACTGGCCGGATAGCATCTCGTTGCTAGGAGGAACCGTCAAGGACTATGAGGCTCAGGTAGGAGCAGGCCTTTGGTATATTGGAAAGAATAGTAAAGTGATTACCTGCAGGATGTCAGGAAAATTAAAGTGGGATACAAAAAGATGAATTGAAGGGATAATGATAATGATGATGAATATGATGACGATGATGATGATGGTGGTGGTTGTGGTGGTGGTGATGGTGATGAAGATGATGATGATGATGATGATGATAGGGTTAGCATCAATAACTAGTTATCCTGACAAAACAGGAATAGCAATAATGATGCAAAATCTGTACACATGTATCAAACAACATCTGGCGGTTTTAATCAAATTTCATTTGCTTATTGAGAAATTGCTTTCTTTTCTTCATCCTTCAGGAAGCTACAATGAATTTCCTGTCTGATGAGATACCTGTAGAGATAGCAGAGGATGCGGTTGTCATGACGTCTATGGTCAGCGACAAGAGCGTCCGGAACAAGATGTCTAACGGCGGAATCCACCGCAATGGCTACGCAAACGGCTTCGCAAACGGCTCCATCTCAACGGTCAAGCGAGTGGACACCACAAACCTGAATGGAGGAACTCGGACCATGAGGAACAACATTTACGAAGATGGAACGGTGTCGGCCCACATGCAGCAGCAGCATCCTTGGGGAGGTGGTGGCGGACTGACAGAGGAACATTACTCTTCTACGACAAGCACGACAAGATCTGCACCGCCACCTCGGCGTACTGAAACAGACAGCAGGCAATTCAGCTCGTCGTTGTCGTCCAGATCCACGCCAGTTCTGCGAGAGACCCAAAACTCGTTGCGCCACCGTAAGATGCTGACAGAGCAGACAGCGGCAGAGATCCGGGAAATGCTTCAGGACATGCCCCCGTCGCACTTGGAGCAGCAGTCCGAAATGGCCGCCGCCGCCTACCGAGAGCAGATGGAGTACGAAGCAGAGCTCACACCGATCACGGAAGAAGGGTCGATGTCATCGCGGTCGACGAACACCCGCGGTAGCAGCTACAGAGGGCAGGATTCTCTTGAGAGGAACAAGCGGAACGGGACGATCTCCAAGCAGTACCAGGACCCGATGGGCAAGTTTGCGGGAGAGTCGTCACTGGAAGAGCAGTACAAGGAGGAAGAGATCAATGGGGAGGATTCTAAGACCAAGATCAAGACCTACTCAGCCAAGAGAGTATCGAGTAAAGTCTACACAGGAGGAGAGATGGTGCCCATTCCAGAGCTGGACTCTGGTAAGCTCAAAGACTAATCTTACATCTTTATTAACCTGTTGACTACTGAATGTATTCATTGCCATAGGCTTAATACAGGGACGACCCGATACCAGTAGGCAGTGGGTTGACTGTCTGATTGCTTTTGTACAGGTGTACTGTTTAGCCTTTTATTAAATCCATCTCAGTGAATTGAAATGTGCCAGAATCGTTGAATAGTTTCAAGCCAAATGTTTTATTTATCTTTCCTGCGTTTTACAAGCAGAGGAAAAACTGGTTGCGACCTTTGTTTTAATTATCTCTAACACCTTCTTTCTTAAGAAGTATGTACATGTAATCGTAAGTCGCTCAGATGTTTTGATCAGATCATTATTTTGGGGACAATCTTGCTACCTTTGAAATGTGGACAGACCGGTCTGCAGGCATTGTTGGAGCAGCAACATGAACCACCAGTACATGGATTGCACCTACACTATCCGATTGTTTTTTAATGACAAATTGCTTGCATGCCATTTATTTCAATCTTTCACAGCTGCATATATTTACTAATTACGCAAACATTCTTGTTCTTGCTTAAACATCTTTCATAAACCAAAGGAGAAATCACCATGTCCTCTTTAGGTGATATTAAGATAATTAACAGGAGGAACATCTCTTCGCTTCAATGTAGCCCATCAGGTACACACCGAGTCATACACAGCACTTAACCTTTATTTCACCTTGACTTTTTTTCTTTGTTTGTTTAGTTTTATTTATGTTTTTTTAAATTTCATTTGCTGCTTTGTTTTTATCACTCTACTGATATTGTTTTTTGCAGTTTTTGTTCCTTTCTGTCCGTTAATATATGTCTTAATAATAATAATACATAACATTTATTAGGCGCTTAATACTGATGTTTCTAAGCGCACAGTGTTCTGATTAAGAGAAGACTATAACCCGTAGAATTAAATTAGAAGAAAAAGCAAAAATACAAAAGTAACATAGATAAGGTAAGAAAAACAGTGGCAATCAACTAAATAAAGACAAATATGGTGCGCACCTCCATTGACCGACGCACAACTGCAATTTACAATTTGAAAAGATAGGTTTTGAGTAGAGATTTGAATTGAGATACAGAGGGGGCGCAGTGAATAAAGGCGGGCAGTTTGTTCCAGAGAGCGGGGGCAATAACTGAAAAGGCGCGGTCACCATACCGGGTGTTAGTGCGGGGTCCAGGTGTTAACAGTAATGTGGAAGATGAACGAAGTGTTCGTGACGACGTACGGGAACGTAAGGATATGAGATCGGAAAGGTAAGAGGGGGCTAAGCCATTGATAGCTTTGTAGCACAGGAGAAGAATTTTGAAGGATATGCGGTGGTGAATTTTAAGCCAATGTAGTGAGTTCAATATTGGAGTTACATGTATGTGCTCTGATTTACGCGAGAGAGTCACAAGCCGAGCAGCGCTATTCTGTACCCTTTGAAGTGGGACTAGATGTGACTGAGGGAGGCCAGAAAGAGAAGAATTACAGTAATCGATATGGGTCGAGACAAAAGCATGGACTAATTTTGAAGTTGTGGGTCGGTCAAGTAGCCTCCTGATTCTACTGATCTTATATATACCAAAGGAAGCAGACTTACAAATATTACTAATGTGTTGTTTGAAAGTAAGATTGCTGTCAATATTTAAACCAAGGTCACGCACAGAAGCACAACAACTGAGAGAGCCATCACTCATAACAAGATCAGGAAAGGGGTCTGAGTTCCGAAATTTAGAAGTAATATGAATCATTTCAGATTTTGAATCATTAAGGCAGAGACAGTTTTGAAAAGACCAGGTTTTGATTTCATTGAGGCAACTGGTGAGTTTGTTCGCGGCTACTGTCCTGCTGTCCTAATGTCTTGTCTGTATTTCATTTTGCGTGGGTTGTGTGTGTGTTTGTGTGATATGTTTCCTACCATTTTTAAGAATAACTTGTGATTTATTTGTGCAAAAGTAATATTGTGTGTTGTTGGGAATTGGGTATTGTCAGAATCGAAGAAACTGATAAAGTCAAATATTCTACAACTTGTTATCATCAGTGCAGTGTGGTGTTTATTTCAGCACAGTACTTGCACATGATTTAGATCTTGATTTCTATGGGAAGTTAACAATTTATCCACCGACTGTCTTTGAAGATGATGATTCTATAGAACTGTATGAACTCTTGTTTGCTGTTTTGTTTTGTTTTATTTTGCCTCCTCCCTCTTCAGCTTGTAAGCTTAAGACTGCCGATTTGACTTCTATATGAACAGCAAGTCAGAAATTTTTAATTTGAAAAAAGAACATGCTGTTTGCAGTCGTCATCCCTAAGGATGTCAACTGTTGTAGAAAGATAAAGAGCAAGGGGGGAGGGGATCCGGATGATGCATTTTATGTAAATTCATCATGGTTTTATCATGTTTATTTGATGTTCAGAAGACAAATGTATAATGTATTTCCTCACCTCTATGCATGCTTCCATGGATATCTAAAGGGGAGATCACCGTGTCAGAGAGTGGTGATGTTACAGTCATTACAAGCAAGAGGAGAAGCCTCAATCAGGCTTCCTCTCCTACAGGTAAGGGTTGAGCTAAGACCTGTTAAAAACTTGTACATGTGTAGTTTAAAACCTGCCTGCAAGGTCACCTTATAATATGATAAAGTAATTTTAATGAAACTTTTTGAGAAATTTGAGATGAAGTTTGTGCCACGGTGAGAAAGATATATATGAAATGACGGGCCTTGACTGGTTCCTGTATTACAGTATGTGTTGCTGAGAGCGCTTTATACGTACACGGATGTATGTTATTAGCTTCCATGACGTAAATCACATTAAGTTTGCATGAATGACCCATTTGCAAATTCATTTAATAGAATATAGAACATTAGAGAATATTATAGACCGGTACTGGAATTTGATAGTCAGAGATAAAATCTATCATTAACTTAGGCTTACATGTGATTGTTTTATTTATTCATTAAACATTGCAGAGAATACATGTTCATGTAGGTAATTATGTAGAATAATGAAACGATGCCCTCTAGTTCCAATGCTAAGTTTAACTATTATTGCCGCTTTGCATGAACTTGAAATATAAATATAAACTATTATTAAAAGAGAGACAGAGATAAAACGAAAACAAATATGCATATATTGCGAAAAAGCATATTACACAGAAAAATCTATACACTGTTAGTTGAAGAAGTGATTAAAGAAAAGATTATGAATGTTACAATATGAGACAACAGCTTGCTAGGGAGAACAATGTCAAGTACAATATTTTTCTATTCCTAATAATGAAAGGTGAAATAACTCTATCCGGTTCTGGAGATGTGAAGTTTTCTCTGCAACGATCACCTCTTGCAGCTACCAGCACAAACTCCACAGGTACATGTACAACCATGCACAGTGATTAATCAAATCAAGCTAATGATAAAGCAATCGTAGTCCAGGACATAAAAGAATGTTGGGGGATGTCATTCAAGTTTGATGTTTTTCCTTCAATCAATTCTTTTAGAGTTAATAGTGACAATATAATCAAATTTGACACTGACATACATTTCATGCTTCACGGCCAACTAGAAAGGACCCGATCATGCAAGAGAGATGTCATGCAAGAGCTGCTGTTTGAAAGGACATGTACTTTTACATTATGTCAGTAAAAAAATTATACCAACTGACAATAAATACAGCTTTTATAATGCACCATCAAAGTTGTAAAAATTCTTCTGAGGCTTCTCAGAGGGATTCTGAGAAGAATAATTGACATGTATAGGTTTAAGTGAAATAGAAAAAGAGAGTTAAAAAAAAGTAGCACATGCACATATTAGTGCTATCAACTTTAAGAAGATGATTTTATCTAGTTAATTTTTAAAATATATTTTCTTCAAAAAGATACTTATGACTGTTTTCTTTTTCTCTAAAAGGTGAAATAACACTCACTAATGAAGGAAATGTGAAATTCTCACTCTCAAAAAGAAACGGACAAGCCAGCTCTCCGTCTTGTCCCACAGGTACTCTTTCGTGTGCAGTGATTTTCATTTAGACACTGACTTGATCTATACAACTGGACAGATAGGTTACAAGCCATTGTCACCTTGAACCATCAATTAGTTTTTTTAATCCTACAATTTTAGGAACTACATTTTAAAAATAAACAATTCCACAATGCTAATACAGTTCTTTGACATCTCATTTTTTTTTAATTTTATTTTGAAGTGAAATTATTATATTTCAGTGATAATGACTGAATGTACATCATATTTTTTTTATTTAGATACATACACTTTTCTATGTATTTTAAATTAAGGGTTTGATTTCCCAACTCAGATTTTTAAGATCTTGAATGATTTTGCAGTGATGTCTATTCTTGCACATTTTATTAAGTAAAGTGCATCTATGGTTTGATGAAAAGTGTAATTTTAAGCTTGTCATAACAAAGTCTTTATAATTGCCTTGCTTTCTGCTATCATGGTTTCAGGTGAAATTAAGCTGACAGGAAGTGGAGATGTGACCTTTAGCCTCAATAATGACAGTCGATCTTCTTCTACTCCTTCTAGTCCCATAGGTATAGGATTGTGTGTGGTGTTAAGCCAAACTTTGTAAAAAAAAATGATCCAAATTCCTTTGAAATGTCTCCAACTTTTCATAATTGCTACTATAAGGAGATAGTTAACTTTACTCGGCATCCATAATGGAATGGAAAGGGAATAGAAAAGTTTTACAGTTAGGTAATGATTACAAGAATATTTGCTTGGAGTTACCAACCTACCAGTATATATATATATAAATACGAAATTGAAAGTTTAAATTCCTTTGACTTTCACAAAAGTAATTGTAGCAAAGATTTGATAACTTATCATTCAGTCCCAAAGAAACCTCTGATAAATACATGCATGGTTCCCTTGTAATATGCCATAGGATTTGCTACTCATGTGTTTCTTTTCTTTGCCACACTCCACCCAGGTGAAGTAAAAAATTCCTTGAAATGCTAGAGTGCCGTATGGCAGCCATGCTAAAGCCAGGTTAATTATCGGGAGCGCCAGGAGGGTCAAATCTGACTCACATGAGCACTATACAAGAACCCATTATTACTATTATTATTATTATTATTATTATTGAAGTTCATGTTTTATCTATTTTAAAACTTGTCTGTTCCATGCATGCTTCCAAAGGAGAGATAACGCTTACCAGCGAAGGTGATGTTAAATTTGGCGTGGGCCAAACATTTCCAAAATCACACGATAGCCCAGACTCCAATATTACAAGTCCGCCTACTTCACCAAAAGGTTCTGATAATTTTGTTTGCTTGTGTGTTTGTTTTATAACAAATTTGATTAGATTTTTGTGTTTGTAGTAAACCCATGAACTAAAATTGTTTTTAATTTTTGATAAAACATGTGAATGGAATTTCAAGAAGTTTATCATTTATATTCAAGTAATTGCATCTCTCTCTCTCTCTCTCTCTCTCTCTCACTTTCTCTCTATCTCTTTCTCTCTATCTATCTCCCTCTTTCTGTCTGTCTCTCTCTCTCTCTCTCTCTTTCTATCTTTCTCTCTCTCTCTCTCTCTCTCTATTTCTATCTCCCCCTTTTTTCTTTCACTTTCTCTAAAAAAAAAAATAATTGTCCCATTTCCTGTCATGGAGCAAAGAGTTATCCCAAATTTTTGAAAACT